ACCCAGCGCCATATTAGTGACTTTTTTGTTAATGTGATCTGATCATATTACGACATAATTCATTAAAAAAATAACGTCAATAACGAATTCTGACCATTACGTTAAAACATCGACGTACTGGCTGACTAATAAAGCTCTCATATTTAAATAAGCTAATAAAACTAAGTAATACACACGTACAAAGAATTTTTCAAGTGCTTTTAAAATTCTTTGAACATATTTCACAACTACCCTCCTATACAAAAAACGTGTTACGGTTAAACATGCAAGTGCGTGATATGTGCTTTAAATGTTCTAAACTGTGAAATATATCGCCAACCATAGCCTATAGTCTATATTTTAGAAAAAAAAGGAAAAAGACAAACACAGTCTTATTTGGGCACAAAAAAGTATTTTGTTTGTAAGAAAAAAAATAAAAAACTACAAATCTCCGAACCTTAAAGGTAACACAAAAAAATTATAAAACAATTGAGATGGGAGACTCTATCATTAGCACAACGATCTCCTTCTCTTTCTCTCTCTTGCTCCTCCATTGTAGACAGAATAATAATTATTGTTTTTGCATAAAGGGTTGTTTTTTTTATATCTGTCGTTTAAATACCAGCCCTTTTACCATAAACAGATCAGATTATGGCCTCAGCAATGTAGGTTCTCTGTCTGTTCCAATTACCTACGTGGGCAGAATGTGTGAATATGTTACAAAGTCCTTTGCATACGGAAATGGAGTTTGTTTTCATGTTAATCGAAGGTACCCTTTTCAACGAAGAGATTACATTTTATAGGTAATTATATTTACAGGAAATAAAGCGCTCACGATAGTCGGCCGTAGTCACAAACCGACTGTCGAAAAGTCAGACAATAATAACTGGTTGACTGAAAGAGAATGCCTTGGGCAATGTCCGCCGATGTACTAAAGTGCTTAAAGTTTGAAATAAAATAAAATAAAAATAACTACCGTGACGGCGTTAATTCCGGTATACATAATTATATATACTATGGTACGCTATAGTTTTTAAAGTTAGAAGAGATTCAATTGCCTGATTCAACTATAACGTGATAAAAAAGAACATTATTTTTAGTCAGTTGTGCGAAATTAAGCGCTACACCACAAGGCACATTTCTAGACATCAGTCAGGCATTCGATAGGGTATGGCATGAGAGCCTGAAATTAAAATCAAATAGGTTCTGCCACACTCCTTTCTCCAGATTATTACATCATATCTTAGTGAAAGAAGTTACCAAATAAAGTACAACCATGAACTTTCAGAACTTTACGAAATTAGGTCGGGTGTCCCTCAAGGCAGCATATTGGGTCACATACTATACCTGTTCTAGACAGCAGACTTCGCTACAACGACCACCACTGCAACATATGCTGACGATACTGCTTTACTATCAACCCACAGAGATCCAGGAAAGGCAACATTACCCTGTAAAAGCATCTAAATGAGGAATGAGGATGAAAGCTTACCAAAACAAGTCTACCCACGTTACCTTCACTCTTAGGAAAGAAACCTGTCCTCCAGTAAGGCTTTATGATGAGGCAATTCCACAGGGTGATGATGTCAAATATCTGGGCATACACCTAGAGAGACGACTTAGATGGCAGAAGCATATTTGGACCAAACGAAAGCAGCTAGATCAAAAACTTCGAAGTTTACACTGGTTAATTGGAATCCATTCCCCACTAAACGAAAACAGTAAAATGACCATATATAAAGCCATTTTAAAACCAATCTGGACATATAGCATACAACTATGGGGTACCAGCAATAGTAATATCGAAATACTGGAGATTTCAAAACAAAACATTGATAACATCCCATAGTGCATTAGCAATAGATAAATTTACCTCGATCTTATCGTTACAACAGTGAACCAGGAAATAGCTCAATACAGCTAAAACTATCAACACAGATTGTTACAGCATACTAACGAGCCTAGTGGTGAGTGGAAAGGGTGGCTCACAACATGTTAGATTAAAACGAATGAATGTCCCTGGACTTAGTAACAGATTTCAGCCATCAAAAGAGATGTTGCTAGGAGGCACAAACTCTTAAATTTTTAACGACACATGGCGGAGCAGTATCGGACAGGGAAGTAGCTTATTTTTTTGCCATGAAGCAGAAACACAAAAAAACTAGTTCATAAATATTAAAATAAAAATTACTCCCTTTTTAGTCAAATAAGCATTTTAACGTGCCGCTTTAATTCAAAAGTGGCAACGAGAATATTATACTTATAATCCCGCCCATAAACTGCAGGAACCTTATTATCACAGAAATAACTTCGGAATAACAAACTTATGTATAATGAAGCCTGCTTGTCACTGGTAACAATGATATCAAGACGCTTGTCCGTCTCATTGACATTCACAATGCAGAGAAGCTTCCTTTATTCGAAATAGAGCGTTCATCGCGTTCTATTGATAGAGCTTCCCTACATACTAATAAAACTTGTAAGTAAAATATTGGATGTTATGATACTCTAAAATAAAAAAATAGCACAAATAAAGTGAGTGTATATCGAATTCCAAATTCATTTATCTCGAATTCTAATTTGAAAATTTAAATTCTACTAAAATTTCGAATTGACATTTTAAACTTATATAGTATATTAGCTAATGAATTTTATATTCGATATTATGAAATTAGAGACTAATATTTTTTTTATTTTCTAACTACGCTTAGTTAAATTATATGTGTATCTAAAGCACGAAAATAATAACATATAAACAATTTAAAGCGATATACCGATAGACTAGAATATCGATGCAAAGCAAAACAAAAGAATTAAAACAATTCACTACGTTTTATTATCAGTATTCATTTAATTTAGCACACGTGGTTAAATTCGCTCCGGCTTTCCGATGAATTGACCTTATAATTTGTTTTCAAGGTCATATTTGCCATTTTAATAGTGTTTGGACCAACTAATACATTTTATAGTTCTTCTGCAATACATTTCAATATAAATATGTTTTGTATTGCAAGTTTTATTAAATCTATGACAAGACCGTTGTTTCGAGAATTTTCTTTTTGTTATGAATCTAAGGTTTGTTTGAATCTAAACTGAGACACACTTTACTGCATATATCGAGCTGTCAAATCACTCATATCATGTCATGCCAATCATTACCATAGCTAACGAACACTTTTAAAATATAAAAAAAGAACAATTCATTACCAACGAGTTACATTTGCTTTCTGAGTTTTTTTAAAGTCTCGACACAACGGCTTGTCAAAGTAATCATCCGGATGGTACCCGGGCATTCATTTCCCAGCACACACAATCCATTAGCACCGACTTATAATATAACGAAATGTCTACGTTGGGTTCTAAAACGCTATACACATTAAAAAAGCCACTGTAACACTAAGCTGTGAGCCCCACTGTGTTCAAACATATTATTTTGACTAAACATTTTCATTTTGTGAATCAAATAGCGGTATTTTGTGAATGTCGGTATGTTGTGGACCCAACAGGGGCTCTATCAATGGATAAGTTGACTTGTTGTTTCTTCGGGCATCTTCAAAATACACACTATCGTAGGTACATCGTGCCTGATAAAATATTTTCTGTCTAGTACAAATATAAGTCTGTATGTATAAGGTTTATAAGTAGCAGTAGATTTTTTAACATCCCGTCAATGATTACGTAGTATTAAATGAACGGTTAGTATGGACTAGTAAGACGAGGCGTGGCGAAGACTGATTTAAGAAGGTCTCCTATCCGCTAGAAAGTTACAGAGGTATAGTTTAAAATGTAGAATAGCGACAGAACTTTTTTTTCACAAATAAATGATGACTGTGTCTCTGTTCGCGATAAAATAAATCAATTTATATAATAGAATTTTCAATTACATCGATATATTAGCAAAATAGACATATTAAATGTGTTTTCTGATAATACTTTCTTTAGATTTAGTAATAAAAAAATAATCACACATATGATGAAAATGTTTCCACTATATAGAGATATTTTAGTGTGATTTTGTTCGAATAAATTTTGATTGGTTAATTTCAAACTAATTAGACATAGAATATGCGAATTTTATTGCCAAGGAGTATTCAGAAATGTAACAAATAACAACTAAAGAGAGATTATAGATATTTCGTTGTTACTTTTGACATTATGTAGATACCTAATTTTCATAAATAAATGTCGTTGATTTATATTTTTTAACTCTTCAATCTATTGTTTTAACCTTTGAGCTCTAGTGGATACGAAACTTAAAACCAGAGATTCGTGGTCTCAATTATTTATAAGGATTTTTAAATGTAACATATGAAAAATGAAGGTTATCTGAAATGTTCATAGGCTTGAATAAATTTTCGTATAGAAAGTTCTAGAAGAGCTAGTCAATGATGTCTTCGCCACAGCCTCCGTGAGATCAGGATCATGTTAATTCAGCGTCTGTTGTGCTTACATATCACTAAGTAGGTACATCCGCCATTGGCACATACGTTTAATTTCAAAAATAATTTAAGTTTAGTTTACGTAAGATCACTGCGAAGTGTTTAAACTATTTCAAGTCTCCGAAAATTATATTTTTCCTTTTAGAATATATTTCATAAGTTTTAAGTTATCTATCTAAGGTTTATTTTTTTCTATTAAATGTGTGTTATATTAAAATTCACAGTCACACGAAATACAGTTTTAAAAGTAGGAGTTGTATACATTAATAGGCCCAACACACATAAATATAAATTATTGAGCATTTTTTAACAAAACAGTCAATTTCTACACATGTTAATTACTCAACAACAAATTATAAATATTTCTACGTTTAATGGTCTCGTTGAAGTTCCCAACTGGAAGAACGAAGGATTCACTATTCCGTTGATTTGAATTATATTAAATTTCCTAACATTTTCATTTACTTACCATATTTTGTTGTTTAGTAATGGTTCATAAAATGTATGGTGAATGTATGGTATAAGATACCATCACTAATAATATCATATATAAAGACGTGAGGGTATCATGGGTGAAGTGGTTCAGCGAGGAGGCGAAGCCGCGGCCAGTCGCTGACGGAGCCTCGCGAACTTGCCGTGGACCAGTCTTAACTGTGACCTTAGCCTCGAAGAGAGCTCCCTCTGCAAGGCCTGTACTTCCACCAGCTCACGGCGAAGTTGTTGGTAGTCGGACCGAACCTGCGGATACTGGATTAATGAGTACATGGAACGGGTGATAGTCTACTCCGGCTAACTCTAACGAAATTTTAATTTTGTAAATATTTAACTTACTAATATATATTTTTGTAATGATTTAATTTTAAAGGACCCACAACAAATATTACAATTTTAATAAAAATTGTTTTTTCTTTTTATTCAACACTTTCTTTTTAAACTTTAATGGAAATGTAAAATTTGAATATAATGAGAATGCTACCAATTGGTGTAAAATTCATTTAACATTTGTTAGTCGGAGTTGACTGACACACTTCTGTCGTCTAACTATACCATAGACACAGTCAAAAATAAAAACAGTCTAATGTGATGAATATGGTCGCCCATAACTGAAGTATCCGCTGATGACATTGTGAAGAACAAGTACATATATATAACATAAAATAATATAGATAAGCTAGACAGTAGAGACATACATTTTATCACTATACTATGCCAACAATTGAGAGTACTTCGTTACTGTAAACTTAATTATTCAATCAAATTATATCATTCATAAAATTGCATCAAATTATTAAATTCAATCTAAATATAAATTCTCAAAATACCCACAATTTTTCTTCGCTAGAACTAGAATGTATACAAACAATATGGTAGTCCTCTTAACAAACCGGCCTCATTTCACTAAAAGTTCTAGAAAGTTCTTAAACTGTTCTGCTATACAATAATAAATATTCATAAATGTTATGTATGTTACATCAACATCTATATTACAAAACTCAAGTTCATTCATCCCGCAATCAGTAGGTATCTAGCGTATTTTGAGTCCCTTTTTTTTCTGTGCGGCAATTCTCTCGGAAACCACCCATCGGTGGTAGTAAGTAAGCGTATTTTGAGTCCCTGTGTCCAAAGACCATGTTTATTTTTTAGAAACAAAATATATTTCAGTTAAAATGCCTCCTTTAATCTCGTAAATTTTTAGTCTTCATACTTTATAGTAGTCTTAAAAATTAGACCGAATACAAATAAGTTTTGACATTTAAAAAATAAAACAGTTTGCAGTAACGAAGTTTCGTCGTAACTAATCAGACGTATACAGAATATCGCTGACACGGGGCAGCCCTGAGGGCGCAACGCATATATTTAAGCGACTGCTCATTGAACGAATGAAGCGGCCCCGACTCCTGAGGCTTTGCAAGCTTGAACCCGGTACTAGGGTCAAGCCTTTGCCAGCTATATATTGAAAAGCATGAAGTTCTGGCTTGTTGTTTTTCGTTTAAATGCTGAATATACTACTGAATGTTACATTGAGATCCTACTCACAGTATCTTATTATAATTTAGCTTGAGCCGATACAGAAATACTGTTAGCCTAGCTGGAATTACTGTCTGGAATAATTTGAATACAATTTACTTTCCCTTTGATAACGTGTCAATCTATAAGATTGTTCGTGTGCCTTTCTGGATTACCTACAGTTTAGCATCCCTGGAAGCCTGTCAGGTTTCTCTGTGACAATCTAGCACCTCTAATAACCTAGGAATCTCTAGGAAACTGATTGTCTGAAACATTTGAGCATCTAAAGGACCTACTCTGGTTTATTTATAGCATCTGGCTTCAATGTGAGCAAGTCTGTATGAGCACTTATCAACTCTATTTCACCGAAAGCATCAACGAGAACTGACAATCTTTAATTTATCTCTCTTCTCGATCTTTAATCAAATATAATATGAGATTCACAAAAGAGCAAGACAGCCTTTTCTCTGCATACATTTTTGGAGTAACAAAGTTTATCTTGGAAAAGTTGATTAGAAAATTCAAAAGTGACTTAAGCGAAACCTGGAGCAAAAGCTTGTGTTCCTCAGGGACTTCATTCCTAGGAGATACCCAAGGCTCTCACAGTTAGACCCACATGTGACGGAACGCCGTGTACTTTTATTCGATTCGATACCCACTTATCATATGCCACACCATTGGTAGTTTCCAAACGTTCAAACAAATTAAACGTAATTCGTATGTTCGGGTTGTAGCAGCGCAACCTAAATCAACTTTCCTGTACAAAAACGAGTAAATACATAAAACGAAAACCCGAGTTTTTCATTTACTCCGCTATGTTTCTCATTACCGTTGTACATGGACCTGGATTTGGCTACAGCTGTTGCTTTCATTTTTCCGGCGAATGTAATAAGGGTATGATAAAATAAGTAGTTACTCTCCGAGTTCTACTAAATTTAGGTCGACGAGACTGCGAGGCAGGCTGTTATAATCCCCGCTGGCGTTCTTTTCTGGGCAAAGATAATAAAGAATTTCTTGATAAGTTTATACACCGTGCGCCTAACGTTTTCATAAACAACTAAATATGTGTGCTGCGTTATTCACTTACATTTACTTGTGCTTGTATCCTACATATGTGACGAAATGGCTAAAGAGACGTATTATTTATTTAAAGCTTAATACACATGTTGTACAAAGGCGGACTTAATGCCATGGGGCATTTATCGCAGTCAACCTTCAGGTGATGTAAAAATATGATGCGGTAGGTGCAAAAATAAAAAATATTAAATTTAACATCATTGAAGTCCAGAGATATACACAATACATAAACATACATAAATTTAATATAATTTAAAAATACTCAGTCGGGTACTAGCGTTGTGACTGTGCTATAGTCATCTTTAAGTATGTTTATCAGCAGTCTGAAGGCCAATTCTTGTAATAAAAGTTCGGTCTTAATTCAGTTTCGACCAACCCTCGATGTAGCTGTCATGAAAGGTATTTTGATAGTAAAATAGTAAAGTATTACTACGACTAGCAGATTACTGATTCAATTTTCGGTTACAATACGATATAATCACATCACAGTCAACGCTGGATGTTTAATACTTTACTACGTAAATACTTTTTATGACAGTTGTGAACTGAATTGAGACCGAACTTTTATAACGAGAATTGGCCTTCTCTGATAACCATAGTACAGGCTCTGTCTTGTTTACGATATTATTATCCTCAATAAAAACAAAGAAATAATAATGTAATAACCCCTATCAATATTTCGCAACGTATCTTATATACAGTACGCCTTTATATTAAGTACACTTACTTAATATGAACAAGAAAGGTCTGTTCATAAGCGCCGTATGGCAACAATGCCTGTTTTACGAGCGCCTGTCTCTGACTAAATAAATACGGATGTAGAATATTGATACTTGAATATATTGAGAAAAAGGGTACACTGTTTCCTCCTGCACGTTCACTAAGAGGAATTGAGGAAAGATGAGAATGAAGGTTAGTATTTCTATCTGCACGGTCATGTTTTACATGGTTTTGAGGTATACATGACATACACGAAGATGTGACACATATATTGGTGCAGTAAAATATTCAACTCATTTTTAACTCGTCTGACTAATTCATCACAAGAACAACATACATACAAATTGTAGGTTTGTTGTTGTGTTGTTGTTGTTTGAGAAGAAATTAAATGGGGAATCAAACTTCTTCGTAAAGAAAACATTCTCTCTAAGCATATACGTATTAGTACGGTAAGATACATCATACGAGATCGGGATCGGCTGCCGATTTCGAGCGTCCATGCGGGATTTTCCAGCTCATCACCGAAAATAAAAACAATTGGCTTAAAAGGCGACATGGCATGGTAGCTCCCAGAGTATATTCTGGTAGAGGCCACCATGTCGCCTCTCGAGTGCTTCAAGTACATCTGTCGAAAGTTTTATAGAACGGACACAAGTGCTGCCGGTGTGTCTATTTCGCACTTGCGTAACTTTCGCGTCAACTCATTGTTCTTTACTCATTTTTTTACCAGTTTCTTTACTCATTTTCGCTTCACAGTTGCAATAGCCTATTTCGATAAACCAATGATCTAACATATAGTTTCATATATTATATCCTACGTAAAATCGAAATTATAAACGTCGAGCGTTTTCGTTACAATTTTTCGCGCCATTGTCTAAATGTTGTGATGGATCGTCTCAATGTAACACAGATAATACATATAAGAACACGACAAGATACACAGATAAACATATAAGAAATGCTAAAATGTGTATAATATAAAAACAACAGGCCATAAGCAACATGGCTACATAATCAGAGGTCTGACCTGCCGGCGACTTTATCGCTTCGCTGAAAAAGTAAATACATATTTGTGTTTATACATAAATGTTATATATAAGGCCTGGCGTATTAGTTACTCGATATTACTGAATAGACACAGTACAAGAACAATGCAGAAAATAATACAATAAATTTGAAAATTTAAAAACCCCCGACACCAAGGAAAAACTTAAAAACTGCTCATTGCGACTTTTCTAATAAGGCCAAACATGGTATATATGCTGTAATTTTCTGAGGAGTTGTCTATCCCGCAGACTACTTGATGCAGCAGCAAGTTCCAAGTTACCATGTCGAGGAATTTTAGATCAAGCGGACCTGTGGATTTTATTGAGATTCCTTCATCACCTAGGAAGTGAGCTGATAATCTATAAAATTTATAGCTAAGAAACATCTCAATCACATCGGCTTTCGAACAAAAAATACGCATCGGAATTGGTCCATCCGTTCGGGAGCTATGATGGCACAGACAGATACACAGGTGAAACTTATAACACCCCTTATAACTTTTGAAAAAGGATCACCAATTTCAATTCGCCTAAATCGTGATGAAATATAATAAACTGTTCTCTTCAGTACTTAATTTTCCACCCTAAGAGGTATTTTTTTAATTGCATGCAACCGGAAAAATAGATAAACGTAGTGTAGGACGCCCACAGGCCAGGTGGAGTAACGATTTGCGCAAAATAGCTGGCAGGAGCTGGATGCGAGAAGCCCAAAATCGATCTAAGTGGCGTGCAATGGAAGAGGCCTATGTCCAGCAGTGGACTGCGATAGGCTGATGATGATGATGAAATACCCTCTTAAATAAAAAAGAATTTTCCAAATCACTTAACGAATGACGGAGTTTTGAGATGACAAACATAAAACAATAGAACCTGCTTGTTCGTTTGGACACAAAGGAGACTGAACTGCCAGCCTTTATCATCAACAGCCTTTACTAGTCCACTGCTAGACATAGGCCTCTCCTTAGAAAGGAGGTTTTGGCCTACTACACCACGCTGACGGGTTGGTATAGGGTTTGTGTCAAGTTTTCCTTCTCTCTGCAATGCTTTTTTCCTGCGTAGTTTGCTTCTTAGTCTGTCTGCTTAGTCGCCTCTTACAACACCCACGGGATGAATAGGGCTGGTGACACTCTGTATTCTTAATACGTCACCACACGGATACCACCAGCCTTTATAGTGGTGCAATGGTTGTTTTGCACTAGAAGATCGGACTGGACTACGACGTGGCTCTGTCAGGTATCATGCTAGCAAAACAGTACTACCAATATTTTTAATGACCTATTTTCCTACTACAGCAGTTTCAAAACACGACAGTAATTATACCCTGACCCAGATTTTAAAGAAACATTATTTAGAAGTTCTCTCTTTGTTTCAAATTAGATTATAAATTATAAAAATGTCATACTTTCTACTATCACGTGCAGTGTGTGCCTAAATTTTCGAATAACATAATTGTGTATTGTCCGTGAGCTTTCTAATTTTTTTTAAACACTTATAAAAACGACTCAACTTAATTATACGAAAATTGACTAATAAAATTATTGTACCCTATGGTAAGTACTACTAGAGATGGTTAGTCGTACTACTAGAGATGGTTAGTCGTACTACCACCACCCATGGCCACCGGAGGGCCTGTGTAAGTTTATTTCACATCGATTCGGTGGTCACGGTGATTGGTGAAGAGTTTATTTCGGGACAATCACGGTATATGTGAAATCAACTCACGCTTGGGCTTCTGTCCGTGTGGTGACGGATTAAGAATACGGTGTCACAACCCCTATTCATCCCGTGGGTGTCGTAAGAGTCGACTAAGGGAGCAAACTACCCAGGAAAACAGCACTGCAAAGAGAAATAAAACTTGACAAAAACCCTATACCAACCCGTCTGACCAGCGTGGTATAGTAGGCCAAAACCTCCTTTCTAAGGAGAGACCTACGTCCAGCAGTGGACTATTAAAGGCTGTTGATGATGGGCTGCTGCTACTTAAAGAGTCACTAATACCAGTCGCCTTTGAGTTCCACCACCAGATATTCGATTGAGCCATTCCGGTGAATGAGGGTCAGGAAAGAATTGCTTAATATCGGTTTTCTGTGAGGCCCTGGGCCAGTCTGCCGGCCCACAAGGCTTTCGAACGTCATTGAACTTGAGCGAATTGGTTCTTACCAATTCGCTCAAGTTCTGGAATAGTCATGGCATATTTTAGATTAAAATAATACTACCTTTTCAATTTCTACGGACATAACGCGATCAATTGATAGGTATTTTATATCTTTGAATTGCCTGACTTTTCGACCAGACGTCATCAGTGCCGTATTTAAAGCTTTCTGATCGAGATAAAAAAAAACTATATGCTAGTTATAGTTTTAAAATCGGAACGTATGCTCTTTCTTCAAATAACGTAGGTACCAATCGTCGTCCAGTTGCTTTTTATATATTAATATAAACTGTGCAGCATTCTTGCAATTAAAGGCGACAAGGCGACTCTCTGATTTATTGTGTTTTATCTATGAAGACGACAAAGAGGGGTTTGACGAGTCTGGATTATTTCTGGAAGCTGTGTAAAAAAACTAAGGGATTATACTTTTAAAGTTAGTTCAAAACACACTTTTTTTTTGGATAAAAAGACAACTCCCGCACTACGATATCCCGTGTCGCGTGGAAGTTACACCAATACATGAAATGGGCACAAAGAATGCTGATATTCATAAAAAAAATGTGTGATCCACAATCAAACAAAGTGTTGTCCCAAATGGGGATAGAACCCACAATCAAACTGTACTTGCATACTATTCTATTACTTCAATAAGCATATACAAAGTTGTCAGGAAGACGAACTGGTTGTTAAATCAGAATTAGGTATTTTTCTAAAATACTTGTCTTAAATTGAATTAAAATACTAACTCTATCAAATAACTTATGACTGCATATATTCCTGTACTGTGTCCAATTATCAACTACAATATAATTATGTGAAGCATCCTTAACCAGCATGCCTTTAGTACCAATTGAATTGATGTAAAGAAGTGACATCATTACAAAATCATCAACATATGAATCATATATTTAGAGTTCAATTTAAACTCTTTGCTAAGATCTCCTTGAGTTTTCCTCTGTATAGACAACATTTAAGGTTTTTTAAATGAATAATCATAATAAAAATATTTTTTAAATTTTTTAAATACTTACTTACATTTTCATATTTCAATATTTTTGTTAAATTTTAGAAGGTTAATTTAGGGATTTTTAAAGGTTAATTACAGGAATTAAAGAATACAATGAGCTTGCATGTTTTATGTTTATTTTATTGTATAACTTTTTAGAAGGTTAAAAGGTGTAATAATTAATATTTATAACACAAAATTTTAAAATTGAGTGTAATCTCAAAAAATACTTAGTTTTAATTTTTGTTTGGCAAGTTTACACTATAAGTCACAATAAAAAACATTGGAGAACATTCAATAGTTGAAATATCAAGGAAACCTCAGTGCGACACCAGATTATTGAGAAGTACCATGCAGACTTACCTCTGAGACTGACTTGAGTAGATTCATTATACACATGTCTTGACTGTTGACGGGCTCGACTAGCTTGTTGTCTACACTATCCATCTTCCAGGCCATAAGATCCAGCTGCTCATCAGTTTGTCTGGCCTGGTGTGTATTAAAAATAAAGTAAAGTATGCATAGACAATCTGTTTTTTTTTTAAATAATATGTGATCTTTTTAGGTACAAAAATAAATATTTGTTTGTTTATATTTTATACACTGCTGTATCATTATTCTAATATTTATTTCTTGCCTTTTAATGACACTGAAGTGGACGAAGATACGCAAAAAGGATCCGACCCACAGTATGATTGAAAATGAGCCAACCCCTTAAATATTTCTAAAAAAGTTTATTTATTCTCAATAAAACTTATTTCTGTAAAAAGTACAACAATTTTTATAACTAGGCCCAAATCAACAAAATCACAAAACAGAATATTAATAAGCTATTTAAACTTCAATCTTTATTCTTTCAAAAGTGTTATTTTGTGGGTTAAATCCGTAAGTAATACCTACCTAGAAGTGCAAAAATATAACAAATTCTGAATGAGTACTAAACAGTCATATTGCCTATTATTCTTTCTTACAAATATTCTATAAAAATAGCAAGAGTAAAACGCAGTTAGTTTTTGTTTATACAAAATTAATCAAATATTTAAGTTATAGACCGTGTGTAAACAAAATGTTTGAGGCACTAGTGAACTAGAGAAGAGAAATACCTAACTGATAAGTCACGAGGCTATTTTTAAACGACATTTACGTAAAGGGCACAGGTAACAGGCAGCCCTAGAGCCTACAGCTGTGGACCTCAGTATTTTAATATTTAAAGAGTATATGCGGCTCTATGACCTATATTTAGATTCCGCTTTGGAACTTTACATCAATTAAAAAAAATTGAGACCATCAATTAGACTACTTACCGTTTCTTCCAGCTCCTCCACTGAGATATCTTTGTCAGACATTATTGCAACACACTAGTGAATTTCTTATTCAAAGTCTAAACTAAATAATAGTCTTGAGCAAACCAACCATTTTTATGTTCTGAAACTGTCATTTATGAAATGTCACTTGAAAACGGAACTAAACGCAAGGAGTAAAAATTTACTACGCGTTTTATTTTACATCAGAGCATCTTAATATTATGCGAAATACTGCAAAAAGTTTTAAGAACCATTTAACAAAATATTTAAATACAGGATACAGTACAGATATAGTATATACATACTGAAAGAGATGGCTCCAATTCATTTTGCATGACGTCTTTCTAATAAGAACGTGTGCTTGTATCATCAAATAAGTTTCAGTCAAGTTTTGCTTTCGTTAGCAAAACAACCAATTACAGCAGTCAATCAAAAGAGAGGGGATCAAAAGGTGTGCTGTTGACATGGAAATTATTGCTACTTTTAAATCATATTCGTTTGATGTAATAATTTATTTAAGTCACAGCGGTTTAACATGTGATTATGATCTCGTCATAGACAAAAATAAATGCCATTAAAAAATATTTTATCGAAGAATACCTTTTTTAGATTTAGACCTTTCGCGTGGGTTGCGCAAGCGCAATAATAACAATTAAGTCGCAGTGGTTTTGTATATCAGTAACAGATGTGATGATATGGTTTATAAATCATATGATTTATCTTATGGGATTGTGATTATATTTCTTCCTTAGTGTGCTACAATTACCTGCCCATAGACAGAGAATGAACTGAGCGTTTTCTCACAAAAGTGACCATACTCTAAAAAATTAATAAAGCGACTGTGTGGCCAATACCTGCACTGCACGGATGGCGATAGTGGTTTAATCGGTCGCCACGCCGCTTACTACTACGCTGAGAGTTGTGGGTCCGATCCCCTCATGGGACAACACTTTGTGTGATCAACAAATTGTTTTTCTGAGTCTGGGTGTTCTTTGTGTCCGTTTCATGTATGTTTGTAAAGTCCCCCGTGACCCATCCCTCCCACGGTAGATTTGTTCCGCGTTATAGGAAAACGCGTTGTAGGAGTATTCTCATATAACGCGCTTGTACAAATGATTCACGTTTTACTTTTCTCGTTAAAGGGGGTTAAAATCGAATGATGAACTCTACAAATCATTATCATTTCACAGTACAGATATATAACGTGGGAAACCCCCGCGTCATATGGGGAATACCCGTGTTATACGAGGGATTGAAATCGTGTGAAATGAATATGCGGTATAAGAGTACCGTTTTATATGGGGATTACTGTATTAATACCCGTAATATTATTTATTATACGCACACTCATTTCATTCATTTTATCTTCAGGATGCAACAAAAATGACATTCTAATTGCCATTTTGAATGCTGTTTCAAAAGGTATTAGAGGGATAATAATTCAAACCAACATTATATTATATACATTTATTTTTGTCTTTAATTTTTACACATTAAGAAGTATGTAGACGAGATTTAATGACAATGATAACAATAGCCATTAAAAATCCCGATATTATCCTTTATACAAACCTACGGTTGCAATCTAGCAACAATTAAATTCACGTGTCATTTCATTATATTAAAATTCACTTAAATACACTTTACTACGAGAATACTTACACACTAGTGACGTCTAATAGTGATGTAATAATATACAGGGTGTAATAGACATCGTAACGAATACTGAAATAGTGTATTCAGACCATCATTCTGAGTCTTTATATGCAATCAGCTGTCAAAGGTATTCCGTGCAAACAGTCACACAAGTTGGCGGCCGGAGCGGAGGCACCGCGCGATTCGGCTGTTAGATTAATTACATTTTTGTTTTCTGTGAAATGTTCTGCTTACTCATTGTGATATCCATTTTTAACAAAAAAAAAATGGCAAATTGAAAAAAAACCGGCAGAAAATTCCAAAGATTTTCGACCAATATCATGGTCTGGATACACTATTTCAGTATTCGTTACGATGTCCCTTACACCCTGTATAGGTAATTATAATATTTATGTTATAATTATTGATAAAAAAATCTTTATACCCATTGATTGCAACTGTAACCTCTGCGCACGTAGTTTACAAGATTTCTACACCACCCAGAGGTAGAGAATGCCCAGGGCATTAAGTCCGTCGATGTACTTAAGTGCATAGTTGTAAATAAATAAATAAATATATATGTACTATTAAAATCTTCATCTTTCTATTCAGGATTCTCGCAGTAAAGTAGGGGGGGTTCGCATCGCGAAGACGAAAAGCCTAGATGTAGCGAATACCACCTATTGAAGATATCTTATTAAATTCTCTTAGCCGCTGTTTGGGTTTAGATGAGGCAGCCTAAACACCATAAAAAGCTTTCAAAGTAAAAACATGATTAATGAAAATAAAAGATTTAGGTATGAAAATGGATATAGAAATAATTAAAAAAAGATATGGGCAGTCTGACGGCTATGAACCCTGGAACCACTCGGATGTTGCTGAACGGTTCCTGGCAGGTTTCTGGCTTGTATAAGAAAGTAAATTATGATAAGAGTACGTGAGAAATTGAAGTATATTGCTAAAATATTAGGGGCCATTCATAAATTATGTTACACATTAAGGAGGAGGCGTTAATAAATTATGGATGAAAAAGAAATTATTAATGTTCCTGAGATTAAATACTAAAAGATGGATTTTGTATGAATAAAAGGCGAAATTTAGAAGTGTAATAGTAGTAAGAAAACAGCTCATCATCTACATATAGAGTATTAATGTGGTGCTGGAGCCGGATGATGAACATCAGTTGGACAGAAATAAGAACCAACGAGCTAATGGTAAATGAAGAGAGGCAATTGACGAATTAAAAGCTGTTGAAAATAGAAGAGACAACTTCTTCAAAACAATACTGGAAGGAACAAAACAATACTGAAAGGAAAAATAGAAGTCAAGAGGAAACGACCGATGACGGTCTAGCATACACCATGTAAAGGATTGATTGATTGATTAACACTGGTTCTCTGTGAGGCCGTGGTATCACTAAGGTCGAGTCGGCCTCTCAGTCATGGGAACAAACGAATTTTGTGTTCGTGTCACATAATTTTTGGATGGCCCCTTATAATAAAAAGACACAAAAGATATTTTGGACTAGAAATTAACGTTATTTTAATTCTTTCTAACACTATAATTACGGCTTAATTGAGTCTTTGTCTGCGGGGCTCAGGGGTGCGGAGGTAGGACGAGATAGGGGACAGGGAGACGGGGGTATCATTGCGTAATTCCCCTTTCTATCCTACTAAAAAGCTGTAAAACCGTAATAAGTTTTCGTCTGAAACTAACCTATAAATCTAATATAACAGTCTTTTTCTACATCTAGACTCCGCGACTTCGTAGCGAAGCAATACACCACAATAATACTATATTTTTTTAATTAAAACATTCATCGACACCTCTAATTAAAACACTAATTATAAGCCGTAAAATTAATTGAGAGTAAAATAAGACCTACGTACTGAATATTTGAGTAGATTGATTTAGAAACATATCATATTATCAAATCTCACACCAAATGACACGACACAGAGATTATTTTAGAATAACTCTCTATGAACACATATTTATATGTGAAAAGAGTTTTGGGAATGTAATACATACCAGAAGAATTTGAATTGCGTCACGTGTCACTAATGAGGGCCTAGTGTGAGCATATTTTATATCAGCTCGTTGGTCAAGGTGACCGCGTCCGTCGTTGTGATTGGCCCGCACTAAACTCTTCACCAATCACAACGCGATCGCCGCCGAGAGCGAGTTGATGCGAAACAAACTCACACTGACCTCCTGAATATAATAATATCAACATTAAAATATTTCAATGGTCACAGTTTTATTTTTTAATGTTCGATGATTTTAACTTTAATAATATATTGAAGAGTGGTGGGAAGGTTGAATACAATATTACAGGTGCATTCGATACAAATAGTATGCTAATATCATACAAACAGATATCATTATATTGTGTAATATTATAACTATGTTACATCATTGGATTGTCCGCTACAGTCAGCAGAAAAAATAATAATTAAACAAAATAAAAAGGAACTATAACGTAGAACAATTAAATAAAACATTAGGATATTTGTACAGAAAAAGAATTGAAAATTCATTTAATTCGTATACAAGGATGTACCGTGATTATCTTGGTCATGTTGTATGAAAGATTTAAAAAAATAATAAGCGCTCTATGGTCTTGTGGCTTTTGTTATGTAAAGTGCGAGCGCATGTCGATCATTCTAGAACGTTCTCAATAGATACGAGCTAATGACGTCACGGTACACGTCACCACCCCCCTGTTATCTTTTGGCAAGATCAGCCGGAACAGCACAATGTATTAAAGCTTCACTATAGTCAAAGCACTTTGGCAGAGTACTTAAAATTACTTACATATATGTATTATTATGTAAAAACGCAAATGAGTATTATCGCAGTATGTGTAACAATGATTGTTACCGTTTCTTGTGAATAAACTAAAACTTTGCATTATGTCGAAAGCGTGTGTTAAAAAATCCATATAGTTTTTGCTAAAGGTCAGTCTGTTAAAGACGCCGTCTGATTTTTTGTCTCTTATTCGAAGTTTTCTCTTTATAAAGCCATTTTAGCCTTTACTTTTTTTCCTAATAAGTAACATAGCGATATTAATTAATTATGCATAGCTTGTACAAATCATGAATTGAAGGATATAGCTAAATGAAGCACCATTAGTGACGTAATAATTTTGACGTAAATGGTAGCTTGTGACGTATACCGTGCACACTAGCGCCACCTAACAAATTTCGCGGCGGTCCCGAAACCGTTGCGAACCCTTTGAGTGTTCGTAAACTTATTTATAACACCATTATTTAGATCGTTTGTGTGTGTGTGTTGTGACTAAAATATTACTTGAATAAAGTATTCAATAATTTAATATTTTGATATACATGTTTACTCACATACGTAGTATGAAATAACCAACCTAAAGTTGATACATTAAGTACCTCAATTACTATCCTATATATCAACATAGTAATACATTAGGCCTTAAAAATCCAATCTAAATCACATAACATATTTCCTAAAAGAATATTTTTGGAATAATTAATGCATATAAAAATGGACTTTCAAATAATACACACATAGTCCAAAATGGTACAGTCGGCGAGACACTCAAGGGGTATCCTAATAATTCAGTCGTGCTCCACACCTGGTCTGTAGTCGACTATTGGGGAGCGTGCGAGCGAGACTGACGCTCGGCCGTCGGAGAGTAATAACATAAGAGAGAGAGAGAGGAACTATCTATGAACTACTTCACTTGGCGTCGGGCTGGTCGAACTTCTGTTCGCTCACGGACACGGCGTCCGACGAGAGCGCCTCTTTTAGAGGCTCTACGCAGTTCTTTGGGATCAGCGTACCTGGAAAAAGATGCATACATTTATTAAACCTTTACCTTAAGTAAAGTATTGTACAATACTACGAAGCCCGACTTCCTTTGCGCTATCGTTTAAATAATAACAAGGATTTACAATTTATGTCATTATGTGCTTAATAAAAGCAAACCTAGTACAGTCAACAGAGGTGAGAATTAGGTAATATAAATAAAGGGTATTTTTAGATGTACATAATTGCAGGTGATCATCGATGTTCGACTTGAATTGTACTTTATTGCGTCGGAGAAGAGTCGCTATTTAAATTGTTTTCATTGGGTTTTAAAGATATGTAGGGCAATCAAAGTAAATGAACTGTTAGACGAAAGCTGTATCCAAACGTGTCTAAGTCCTCATTAGCTTGGAAATATGGTTGTCTTTACTAATAGTTATTGTTTAAATGGTGTTAGTTTTTTACGTTAGATAGCGCTGACTTGTTTTTGTTTATTGAAGTTATAACTACACTTATTATAGGAGGGTAAACGCGTTACATAACGAAGCGGCGTTACGTAACGGGTTACGGCGCCAGTCTGTCTTGCTTCCCTTTCTCTCACGTATACGGCAGCAGTAGATAGGCTCTTCCTCTTTCACTGTAACCCACAGCGCTAGCCGTATTTCGGACAAACCCTTTAAATAAAATTGAAGTTATAACCTAACCTTTTCTCAAGTTAAACAATTTCAATATTAAACGTCGTTAAACTATTTAAGTTCAACGGCGTCCCGAGACGGCAGCGGTTACCATATAGTTTAGTTAATCCTAGTTAGGTAGCTTTGAAGTATTTTCTTATAATAATATGTTTCAGTACAAAATGAATGTAATGTGTCAGTGTAAACTCACCGACAATCTTGAGGCCGTCGTCGGTCTTGATGCGCACGACCTGCATCTTGTTGAGATGCGCGCGCGCCGCCAGCACCTGCTCCACGCGCGCCCACACGGCCAGCACCGAGCCCGCCAGCACGTGGTGCGTGCGCACGCGCAGACCCACCTGCGCACGGAACGATCGGAGCGTTTAGAGGTCGAGGACACGATAACAAATGAAGAGATGAGAAAACAATCAAGGTTGTGGCTACGCACCTCGCAGTCGCTGGCGTTCCTGCAGACGGAGCGCCAGTAGGCGTGGCTGCAGACGCGCTGCGAGGCGTTGTACTGCGCGCGCCACCACGACTCCGCCTCCGCGCTCTCCACCTTGCGGTACTTCTTCTCGATCTCCGCCAGCGACTCCAGGCGCACCTGGAGACCCGTGTTCGGCCTGGAGGGACAACATCGTTAATAACTATTTCATTTATTGCATTTAGACGTGTGATATGTTATCATACATCTTTAATATGTATTTTATTCCCTTTAAAATCGATTTAATTTTAATTGTTTTTTTTTTAATGACTCGTTTAATTTCAGTGTTATCAACAAATAAATTTTATTATAAAAAGTTTAGTTTACTCTATAAACGAAACACGGGTCAGAGTTACACATACCTGTATATTTGGAACATGAGATCTTTTTTTGTGAGTTTCTCCTTCTTGGTGTTGGAGACGACGGAGGCGCAGAGGACCGCGGTGTACTTGTTGTTGCGCGCCTGCTGCGAGATGTAGAAGCCTTCCTTGGCGCCCGTCAGCTCCGACCACTTCTCTAAGGCTTCGGCCCAGTCCATGCCGCGCTGGAGGGGGAAATCGGGACGTTATGAGAATTCCATACCGTGACATAGTAAATTTGAAATTGTAATTTGACATTTTCTTCTAATCAATTATTACAAATTATTAATTATTTTTAAAATATTAGCAGTCCGCGGCCACGCCGGCCGGGTCCAGCCCCCGCTGAGCGTGCGAGGTTACCTCGGTGTGCACGGTGTGCAGCTCTAGGGCGCGCGGCCGGTGGCGTGGCGGCGCACGAAGCGCAGGCAGCGCACGCGCCGCCCGCTCTAACGTCTAGTGAGTGCGAGGTTACCTCGGTGTGCACGGTGTGCAGCTCGACGGGCGCGCGGCCGGTGGCGTGGCGGCGCACGAAGCGCAGGCAGCGCACGCGCCGCCCGCTCTAACGTCTAGTGAGTGCGAGGTTACCTCGGTGTGCACGGTGTGCAGCTCGACGGGCGCGCGGCCGGTGGCGTGGCGGCGCACGAAGCGCAGGCAGCGCACGCGCCGCCCGCTCTAACGTCTAGTGAGTGCGAGGTTACCTCGGTGTGCACGGTGTGCAGCTCGACGGGCGCGCGGCCGGTGGCGTGGCGGCGCACGAAGCGCAGGCAGCGCACGCGCCGCCCGCTCTAACGTCTAGTGAGTGCGAGGTTACCTCGGTGTGCACGGTGTGCAGCTCGACGGGCGCGCGGCCGGTGGCGTGGCGGCGCACGAAGCGCTGGCAGCGCACGCGCCGCACGCGCTCGCCCGCGCTGCCCAGGTCCAGGATGCCCAGGTCGAACCGCCCGCCGCGACGGGCTGTAACGACACGAGCGACCGTATTATATCATACCACTATCATCCATTCGCGTTTAGAAAATAGTGACTCATAGTTGTCCACCGTTCAAACCCCGCCCCCTTTTTTTCTATGCGGAAATCCCCTCGGATACCTCCCGCCTGTGGGGTGGTTATGTGGAACTCGAACCGACCGAGTCGAGTACCGGTAGCCCGAGAACTAGATGAACCCTAAAAAAGAACTCCCCGGTACCTCGACTTACGCACCCGCCCTCTGACCGTCCTGACCGACCACGTTCCAAAAAATGATAAAGGCGATTACTTATTAACCGATTAACTGAAAACTTATACGAAATGATTGCATTCTTGGAGCATTAAATTTAAAAAATGGACATCTCGCCTATTCGTAAGAATAAAAGGGTATCAATCTTAATTCACAGTGGAAAAACGAGTAATTTATGTTTTTATGGCGACTAATGTATGAATAATATTCTGCATATATATATATATATATATACGATGATTTTATAGGCGTTTTGGCGGCCGCTGCGCACCGCTTACGCTAACAGCAGCTGATAAATGTATACCTATAGGCGCGAGCTAGTTAGTACTTACGTAGATTGACTCCAGTTTGTCCTTCATACTTTACACGGGCTCAGGACCGTCGGAAATACCTATTTTATTTAAACTTCTTTTCGATTTTTAACCACGATTGTTCTTTTCACAACAAATCAATTTATCAACGGACTGTAGGTATAAATATTTCAGGCGTATTTAAAAAATCGGAGCTATCTACAGAATAATTACTTACATACCTATTTACAGTTTATTTACACTATTTACACTTCTCTGTATCGAAGCAACTGCTCAAAATGGAGTCCGCTGCGTTCAATAACGTCCACGTTTAATGCAATTGTTTTTTAATTTTCTTAATGTGTCTCTATCACTTTTCACTTCATCAAAAGCGTGCACTATCGCAATGCGTAAATCATCACGGCTTTCATATCCTCGTGTATGAACAAGTCTTTTTATTTCCGACCATAAGAAAAAATCCAGGGGCGTTAAGTCCGGGCTTCTAGGTGGCCAGGTCACAGGCCCTCCTCGACCTATCCACCGATCACTAAACTCATTGTCCAGGTATGCACGCACTAACGCACTCTTCCAAGTTGTAGTTGGCAGTAGCTGTACCATTGCCAAGTACTCCACGTTTGAAAATTCGTACTGTCGACTCATTTTAGCGCTAATCAATGTAGCGTGCCGTCACGGTGTTATGGTATTACTGACCGACTGAAAGCGAAGGACGCCTCACGATTACAGGTGAGTCCCGCGCATGCGCCTACGGGGCATCGTCATTGGTTGGACGACTCCGGCGCAACTCGGTAGCTTTGTTTTTACTCGACTCGATATTAAAACGCATAGTATTTCTATTTGTAGTATTTACCTACGTGTGATTGAATAGCCCTACTAGTTCTCACTTTTTCTCTGTAAACGATATGAATATCGACTTTGATGAAAAAAATATATATTTATTTTATTAAATTAACGTTATATATATAGCTTCTGTTATTGATAAATAATTCAAAATCTTCTGTTAAAAACCGCTTTCAAAATCACCGTGTATACTAGCTGAGTGTATATACATTATTTCTAGGAAATATTGAAAAAAAAAGTAGGGGTGGGTCACCCTTGTCATAGGGGTGTGAAAAATAGATGTTGGCCGATTCTCAGACCTACCCGATGTGCACACAAAATTTCATTAAAATCGGTCCAGCCGTTTCGGAGGAGTATGGTAACTAACATTGTGACACGAGAATTTTACATATAAATAACTATCTCTTAAATGTTACAAAAAACATATCCAATACTGTTTATAAAGACATTACAAACCTCTGTAATAATTTCGACTATCGATGATTAATAAATTATGTAAAATTTCATTAAAAGAACCATAAAGCTTTGTTATCTATTGTTCACATCCACTAATAGTTAGCAGATGTTGTTATGCTATTAATTTATTTCAAAATAACATCTACATTCTAGTAGATAAACTGAAACATAAATTCTTGTACAAATGTAAATTGTTAACTCCACCCTGAATACACCTTTGCCCCAGATACGTCACTATTTTCTTAATGCGAATAGACTATCGTTCATATACATTCTGATGGTTTAGTGGATGGACTCTGACCTAACAGGTTGATACAGGATTTGTTTCAAGTTTTTATTGTCCATGCAATGATGAATAGGGGTGGAGACACTCCGTATTCTTAATCCGTCACACACTACATGTATTTAGATACATAAATATTAGGTATTTTTTCAGCAGTTTGATTACTACAATACAGACTATGCCTAGTTTATGATAAGACGGCCATATGTAAGGTTATAATAATTATTATTCTGGTAATAAATTTGGACGACCTGAGTTTTTATCCCTAGTAGTCGAACGAAAGTTACCCCATTTTCTTAAACATATTTAACTAAAGCATATACAACAAGAAACCAGAGTACATTCATATTGATGTAATATTTAAAATATTTCTTTTCGTGCAATAGCAGCCACTTTATCAGCTACATGCCAAATATTAAACATTCCTAGAATGTCTATGGATGATTGATGATTTGAAACAACAACAGGTCCTCGGTACATTCATATTGATATAATATTAGTTACAATGTACATTTAAATTACAATAATTACCTTGTTCCATAACTGCGGCGAGTGTGTCAGTGAAATACTTGAATAGTCTGTTCTGTAACTCCACCGGCATGCCTAATATCCTGTTCAAGAATTTTGACATGTTGTTGTAATCCTGTAAAAAAATATATTTATGTAAAGAATATCACTACACTAGTGTCGTTCCTTTTCTTTATGGATGTATTATCTATAGATCTCTAATAAGTTGATGGCGGGTCATGTCAATGACACCGACTGGCATTGAGGTAATTTTCAATAATTGAAAGTGAGGTTATGGTATTTTAGAAACACATGAAACAGTAAATAGTTTTCTGTATAAATAAAAGGAAATAGATTAACTAAACTAGAAGTAAAGGCTTCAAATGTTGTTTTTGTTATTTCACATAAGTTACTCTGTTTAGAATGTGAAAATTATGTTAAAATTTTGTATTTAATTGTGTTGTGAATAAAAGTAAATTTGTTATTTCAGAAATCGCAAATTTCGACTTTATTTCATTTTAAGGCATATTACTATTATATCCGTGTGGTGTCGGATTAAGAATACGGAATGTCACCACCCCTATTCATCCCGTGGGTGTCGTAAGAGCCGACTAAGGGAGCAGACTACGCAGGACAACAGCACTGCAAAGAGAAGGAAAACTTGACACAAACCCTATACCAACCCGTCTGGCCAGCGTGGTATAGTAGGCCAAAACCTCCTTTCTAAGGAGAGGCCAATGTCCAGCAGTGGACTATTATAGGCTGTTGATGATGACTATTATATTTATATTACACACAACATATTAAATATACATTACACAACCATGTGTAGAATATCCGTGTTATGGCGGATTAAGAATACAGAGTGTCATCACCCCAATTCAACCCGTGGGTGTCGTAAGAGTCGACTAAGGGAGCAAACTACGAAGGACAACAGCACTACATAGAGAAGGAAAACCTGAATCAAACCCTATACCAACTCATCTGGCCAGCGTGGTATAGTAGGCAAAACCTTTCTACAGAGAGGTCAATGTCCAGCAGTCAACTAGTAAAGGCTGTTGATGATGATGATGATGTGAAGAATGTATAATTGTGCGCATATTTAATGCGATAGCTCCTTAGGTGAAGCTCCTTCATCCACTACAAAACCTAAACGGTCAGTTTTAAGGACATAGTGGGCCAAATGAAAGATTTGTCAAAAGATCTGAGTTACTTACTAGAGAACCATTTTCCTTTAGGTAAACTACACTTATCGGCACCTCGACTAATCAGAATATCTATCTAGAATTATTTGGGGATTTCGTGGCCTCTAACCTCAAACATCTTTATTTCCTAAAATTACTTTGAATTACAAAGAAGTAAAAAGAAAGGTAGAAAGTAGGCCAAAACCTCCTTTCTAAGGAGAGGCCTATGTCCAGCAGTGGACTAGTATAGGCTGTTGATGATGATGAAAAAGAAAGGAGATGCTGGAGCACACACCCCCATCAAGGGCCTCCTTGTTCGGAGACGACGGGACAAACTAGAAGGACGGTGTTCCGCTCGTCACAGATCCAGAGATAGGGGCTGTTCTACGGATCCGTTCCAAGAAAACCGCCCCCGGGCCAGACGGGTGCTGGCCCTGGCCCTTAACCACCTGTCACACCGCCTTATGGAAGTGTTTGACGCTAGTTAGGCGGCCGGACGCTTCCCTGAGTGAGTTCGCTCCGATTTATCAGACGCCCAATTTGGCTTCCGAGTCGGGCGTTCGACTGTCGGTGCTGTTGCGCCTGAACGCCGTGACCGAGGCGGTAAGCAGTGGCGGTGTGCTGTTGGCGGTGTTATTGGACATCGCCAACGCATTCAATAGTATGCCATTTAGCTGAATCAGGGAAGTACTCCACTATCACGGGGTGCCACTGCTAGTGGCAGACTACTTAGAGGAGCGTACCGTGATGTAGGAGGACCGAGATGTTTTTTTGAGAAGTCGGCCCATGTCGTGCGGTGTTCTTGGACCCCTCCTGTGGAACATAGGGTACAACTGGAACCTTCAAGCTGATATCCGATCACACTTTGGTCACAGCTCAGGGGGCGAACTTTTAAGAAGCGGCGGATCTGGCCACCAGGGGAATCTCTCTGGTGGTCGGGTGCATTGAGGCGCTGGGGACGGGTGGAGAGAAGACGAAGGCCCTCTTGTTCCATGGGCCCCGGCGTGGTCCTCCCTCTGGCTCCTTAATCGTGGTCAACTCGGTCCTCGTACAGTTCAGGCCCAGATGAAGTATTTGGGTCTGATTCTTGGCGAGCCAGTGGTGGCTCTAGCTCTGGTGGCTCTTCGACAAGCACTTCCGATAGCTTTCTCCAAAGGCGGCGCTGCGTCTGCCCTTGTCCTTTCCTTCCGACTGACCTAGGTTCTCTCCGGGCATGGCTGCTTCGGGAAGTATCTGCACTCGGTCGCTAGGAGGGAATTGAGTCCCGTCTGTCACCACTGCGATTGCAGTGAGGACTCGGCTCAGCACACGCCATATGCCAGATATTGCTCGGCTTGGGTGTCTCAGCGTCGGGTCCTCATTGCATTCATTGGAGAGGATTGGATTCTCTTGCTTACCCGTCATACGCTCCATGGCCGGTAGTGACATTTGTTTTACCGTTTCTTCCTTTTGTGAGATGACATCATCAAGGAGGCGGCGGAAAAAGCCCGGGAGGATAATCTCCACTCGGACCCAATTCGCCGTCGACGAACTGCGTGGCGGAGGCGCGCTTACCAGCGCCTCATGCCGCTCCGAGTGTAACCGCGGGTGGACGGGACGGGTTTTCCCCTCCACCCGTCATAACGGTCAGCCCTATATAGAGAATGTACCCGAAGGTGGTACCCGCGCCTTTGCTGTGTGTGTGTGTGTGCCTTTGTGCTGGGAGGGGTCCGGATGTCTTAATAACAGCTGTTCCCGGATCCCTCCTATTAAGGTGCAGAGTGGCACACCGTGTGGTTTTAGTCGGTCAGATTCCGACACACAACACCGCCGCAAACCCCGGCAGGGCGTCACCCCACACCCCTTTTTTTTTCCGTGCGGAAATCCCCTCGGATACCACCTGTCGGTGGCATGTCGGACTCGAACCGACTAAAACCGCACGCCGTCTCGGGTACTAATACCCGGGGAACCAGGTATACCCTAGAAAGGAAGTCCCTGGTGCCCCGACATACCTCGGGTCATCTACAGACGAGTAGACGACCCCCCCAGTGTGGGAACCCCATGTTCCCTGTGCTCCCTAGAGGCGAGCGCGCTTCGCAACGCGCTCGCCGCCACCCCGGCCTGCTTTTGCTAGGGTGACAGATGGCCTCACCTGTCACCCCCAGGCCTGCGTTTGCGGAGCGGGACCGGGAGAGTCCTAAACCTCTCCCGGTCCCGCTCCGCCGTCTCCTTCGCGAGCATAACCTGCTCGCAGAAGGAGACGGCAGAGTTCCACGCACTCTCGCTCCGCACGATAGCCGCAATCAGGCTATCGAGCGAGAGAACTCCCACTCCGATGGCCGCCACGAGGTCTCGCCTCTGCTCAACCCACGCCGGGCACTCTGCCAGCGTGTGGAGAGCCGTGTCCACGGTCTGGCCATCGCAGTGGTGGCACTCAGGCGTTGGCTCCTTGCGGATCAGACACAGGTGATCCCCGAAACATCCCTTGCCAGTGATCACCTGCGTCAATCGGTATGAGAGGGTCCCGTGACGCCTCTCGAGCCAATCCTCCATAACGGGTCTTACCGCCGCGATGACGGCGTGCCCGGCGCTCGGTTGCCCGAGTCGTTCCCTCCACTCCCCTATGATGACCTGTCGGAGTTGGGATTTCCGGTCATCGATTTCTCGAATCTCGGGGCATCGACCCAACTCCCGCGCCTCCTTGCGCCACTGATACAGAGCCGCAAGGGCTCTCGCCTCCAGGTCCCACGGTGGAGTTCCGGCCAGGAGACTCGCCGCCTCAAAGGAGATCGTGCGGTACCCTGATTATGATCTGATCCTTATGATCCTGATGGCCAGCACTCGCTGCGGTCGTCGCAGCATCGCGACGTTGCTGGCCCTCAGGGCCCCGGCCCATGCTGGGCACCCGTAAAGGGCCATGGACCGCACAACCCCCGAGTAGAGTCTCCTGCAGGAGTCATCGGGTCCACCCCACACCCCTGAGGGGGTTATCACACGTAAAAAAAAGTGTGGTGGTTTGCGCGTGCGTACCTTGTCGAGCGAGAGCACGCCGGGCGCGGCCTCGCTGTTGACGATGAGGCCGACGCCGACGAGCGCGGCGGCCACGTCCTGGAAGAAGTCGCCCGCGTAGTCAGCGGGCGGCGGCACGAGCGGGCTGTCGTACTTCATGATCGCGCGCATCACCGACTCCAGCGCCGACCGACCTGCGACACAAACCGCAATGTCAGATACATATATACATACGCAAAACAATATTAAACATACGAGGGCGGGTCAATAAGTCCGTGACTTTTTGAATTTCTGACCTCTTTACTGAAAAAGCAATACTACTCCTGTCAACAGGCATCTGTCAGTTGACTCCTGTCAAAATTTGAACTTGCTGCGTCAGTTAGTTTGTGTTTGACAGCTATCTTTATCAGACTACCCAGTAATTTGAGGAAAAAAGTGAATTTCGTGTGCTTATTAAGCATTATTTTTTTGCGAAAAAAAAACCATTACAGAGACCAAGGCTAAGCTTGATAAATACTATGGGGACTCTGCACCGTCGATTTCAATGGTAAAAAAGTGGTTTACTGAATTTCGTTGTGGCCGTACAAGCGCTGAAGATGCCGAACGTCCTGGACGCCCAGTTGAGGTCTCTTCACCCGAAACAATCGAAAAAATTCACGATATGGTGTTGGCCGACCGAAGATTGTAAATGCAAGAGATTGTGGAAGCCGTAGGGATCTCACATGGCTCAGTGGTTTCAATTTTGAATGATCACTTGGGCATGAGAAAGCTTTCCGCAAGATGGGTACCGCGATTGCTCACAGTCGACCACAAACGCAATCGTGTAACAACTTCACAGGAAGGTTTGGCGTTGTTTAATCGCAATATGGAGGAGTTTTTGCGCCGTTTTGTAACCGTGGACGAAACATGGATCAATCACAATACACCAGAGACCAACAACAGTCAAAACAGTGGGTTTCTAAGGGTGAATCGGCGCCAAAGAAGGCCAAGGTGGGTTTGTCAGCCAATAAAGTTATGGCGACTGTCTTTTGGAATGCACGCGGGATAATCCACATTGACTACCTTCAAAAGGGAAGAACAATCAATGGGGAATATTATGCTAACTTATTGGACCGATTCAATGACGATTTGAAAAAAAACCGACCTCATTTGGCCAAGAAAAAAGTTATTTTCCACCAAGACAATGCAAGGGTGAACACATGTGCAGTTGCCATGGCAAAAATCCATGAATTGGGTTATGAATTGCTCCCTCATCTCGACTACTTCTTGTTCCCAAACCTGAAGAAATGGCTTGGTGGAAAAAGATTTGACTCCAATGATGAAGTCATCTCGCAAACAAAGGGCTATTTTGAGGACCTCGACAAATCATATTTTTTGGAAGGGATAAAAAAATTGGAGAAGCGTTGGACAAAGTGTATAGAGTTCAAGGGAGACTACGTTGAAAAATAAAATGATTTATTTATCAAAAAATCTGTGTTTTATTCCAAAAGTCACGGACTTATTGACCCGCCCTCGTACCATACCATAAACCATATTATATTTATGTTTGCATTTTGTTACGATATTTTCCCCCTACAATCCGCATTTTATTTATTCGCTAACTAAAGGTATATTAATCAGACAAGATTCAACCTTATTGTCAGTACAACATGGTTTAGAAAAAAAAAAATTTTTTTGCTAGTAGTGAAAATGGTCACGTAGTACACACGTACGAACGCTAATAATAAAAACAAAATAACCCTCATTATACTAAATACTTCACACATCACAAATAATATAAACTGTAATTAATTACACAGTACATCGACAATTCTTGGAATTGAAGAGAAATCAATAAATATATAACATGAACACACCGTATTTGTTGTCGATGTTGAACTGGCTGAGATCCCTAGTCTCGGTGGCGCGTCGGTCACCGTGTGTAAGCGCTCCGAGCGACTCCAAGCGCTTGGCGACCGTCGAAGCGAATCGCCTCTCGCCCGCCAAGTCCGAGATCAAGAATATGTACTCCGGTGCGTTCACCTGATTCGATCGGTGGGTACGACCTGACAACATAACAGTTATTTAAATTAATTTAATACATCTTTTATTAGCGATGTTTGATTCCATGCAAGAAAAGAGAGGGTGGTTTCCCTTCTCTTTTCAGTTCGTAAGTTATTTTTATATATAACAAAAAATTTTGAACACAACTTACCAAACTGTTGTATGGCTCTGTCGGCAGACCACGGTAACTCTAACGTTATGTGAACTCGCCGCCTTTGATTCCGCGCCCTGGTAAACAAAACAATTTAAAATAAATCTATGTTAAAAGAACATTTAAAGTTAGCGTGAATATATCTTTTATTGGAGACTTGCTTTTGTCCGCGACTCCGCCCGCGTGTATATCAGTTATTGCGGTAAAGAATAGCCTATGTTACTCGCTGATAACGTAGCTTTTTATTAGTTAAAGAATTTTGCAGTCGGTTTAGTGGTTTAGGCGTAGAAGCTAACAAACAAACGCACTTTTATATTTATAATCTAAGTATGGATAGGTACAAGACAGGTATGTAGTATCCCAACAGAAGAATATTTGGATTTTGACCAATAGAAAGTATATTTAAAATTTGAATTGGATAGCGGAATTTAAGGTTTAGGCATTTTCTACCAGCCAAACCTTTAGAGTGATGCAGAGATATGTAAATAAAACAGTGCATAGATTTTCTTGTTAGTGTGGTTTCTAAAACCCCTGACAAATGGACTGATGTAAAAATTATTAAATATATTGTGTCCGTAATTTGTATATCAAAATGTCATAGGGCAGAAAATATATAGTGTACCTTCGATCACTCTGTAATGAGATACCACTGGAGGCGGCCTCGGAGATGATGGCCACGTCCTTCTCGCCGTCCATGAAGCGTTGCTTCTCTGTCAGGTTGAGGGTCTCCAGCGGCACGTCCGCCTCCGACCGACTCTCGTATAGAATCTGTCCATCTTCTGTTTGTACTACTCGTCCCTTGCGACCTGTCATCTGTAAAGAATCAAAAACAATACTTTAAACTTACTACTCGACAAACACTATTTTAATAATTCTTTTCAGAGATGTCTTCTCGGGTTTTAGGTGAGTTTAATTCACATATAGTCGATCGTTAAGGTGTTTGGCGTTGCGATTGGCCCGCACTGGAGTTGATGTGAAATAAACGTACACTTGGCTGTGGACAGGGAGTGTCACCACCCCTATTAATCCAATGGGTGTGGTAAGAGACGACTAAGGGAGCAAACTACGCAGGACAACAGCACTGCAAAGAGAAGGAAAACTTGACCACACTCTTTACCAACCCGTCTGGCCAGCGTGGTATACTAGGCCAAAACCTCCGTTCTAAGGAGAGGCTTATGTCCAGCAGTGGACTATTAAAGGCTGGTGATGTGATGAGGCCCTCTGATTGTAACTAGCCTTACAATATAATAATATTAACAACATGTGGAACATCTTACACATTGATATCTAGATGCAGAGTTGAAATTGAAAAATAAAGACATGCTATCTAGAACTAATATGCTTTGTGTGGTAAAAAAATATATTTGTTCTAAACATGAATAAACCTACATATTATACTCGCAAATTGTTGCTAATGCGCAGGAACTTTGTCACATTAAGAGCCACGTGACGTCATCCAAAATAGAAAAGTACAGCTTGCTAAAAAAGAAATGCAATTGTAAATTTAATAGGTTAATTATTAAGTTTGACAGATTTGAAATGACATTTATTGTAAGATTACATTTTACGAAAAAACTGATATTTGATGACATTTAATTAATCTCACACCTTGGAAATAGGTATCTATCTAAGAAATGAAAAATGTTTAGCCAAAATGTTTTGTTCAGCCAGAATAATGCTAACGGTACAGAGTAATGTCAATGTCAACAAAATACGTCACCCAATGGCGGCCAGGCGCATTAGCAATTTGCGGGGATAATAGTAATTTTTCTTATATGTAACATCTTCCCTCTTGTTTTCTGCAATCTGTGAGTGATTTCATAAAAAGGGACGGAAATGTGTAACACGAAACCATAGAATCGTGCGATATTTGATTTCACCAATGGAAGATTAGGATTTAACATTAATGTTGTTTATAACGAATTCCATTTGATTCATGTTGTATATACAAACATATTGGTCGATATATTTGTGAAATATATTTTTACACTACACGAGAATCGAGCCACCGACTCGATATGGAAAGTTACGTTCGTCGAATCAGAGCTTCGCTAATAAGAGCCCGCACACACATGCGTGTCCTTGGATACGTACAAACGCACGTATAAGCGAGGAGTGGTGAGTTCAGTGCAGGTGTCCGAGGAATACATTCGTACGTACCTCTGCGACGTTCTCAGTGCCGCCCAGCTCGTCCACGAGCTGGTCGAGCGTGTTGGGCGGCAGGCGCCGGCCGAGCCGCTCGATGGCCAGCAGCAGTTCCTCCTTCATGCTGCAGGCGCGCTCGATGGCCGAGCGGGGGGGTGCCTGGTTGCGAGCCGGACCTGGTAACGACAGTACGAGTTTCAGCCACTTGTCGTTCATATATTTGCACTCCACACAACCAATTATTGTATGTCCGTATTGTAAGAATTGGTCATTCCACTATTCTTGTTCTATGGATTAATTATAATTAAATATTGATTCACTGTAATTACGGCGAAAAATATACTTCTTATTAATTTTCTTGTAAATAAGACCTTTTAGGAACTTGGAACGATTTGATTCGTGTAAACAGCTATCTATTTCATCTCTACTTTAAATTTGCACCAATATAATGAAGCTGTAAAGAATGCTTTTTAATTTATAGTAATTTTGCTTAGTTTTTGCTCTAATCACTAAACCTGCCAGACGAATTTGGAAATTAACAGATAACACGTACCAACAATAACCCAATTCTTAAGAATCAGTAAAGGTTATTTAGTAACGCCCCTGAGGAGTGAACGGTCCCAGCTAGTGAGTACATACCTAGGTAGAGTCCGTTGGTCCCAACCGGGGTGCCGGTGACGCTGTGTCCGGCGGGCGTGGTCACGGTGACGGTGGCGGCGCTGGCCGCGCTGTTCTTGCGCTCGAACATTGTCTCTATCTTGTCTTGTGTCGTTGACGGTTTCTTCTTTGGTGATGCTGCTTTCTTCTTCTTCACGGGTTTCTTTTTACGGCCGAGCCACGGTTCTGATGAAAAATAAATGTTAGAATACTTGTAACTTGTCGCGGCACACATTATATAATCGTTGGAGAAATGTTGCATAAAATTCTACTGTTAGAATTCGACGGGCCTGTTGGTCTAGCGGTTAGTGACCCTGACTGCTAAGCCCGAGGTCTTGGGTTCGATTCCCACCCAGGACAAATAATTATGTGGTCAGCACGATGATTTGTTCTGTGTCTAGGTGTAATTTATCTATGATATGTATGAATTTGAAATATATAAGTATGTTTATCAGCAGTCTGGTTACCATAGCACAAGCTCTACCTAGTTTGGAATCAGACGGCCGTGTATATGATGTGTGAAGTTAAAAAAAAATGAAATGGATTACAGAAGTTCTACTGAGTAAAATTATTTTAATGAACTCTTGTTCCTACAAGATAAAGTGTAATTCAGATCGCAGTGCTAATCACGTGTAGCTAACCTTGTGTAAAAATAATATTGTCACACAGGAGTGCTATAGGGGAGAAGGGTATCTCCATATGAAATAGGGATTATATACTCCTTATAATATGTACCATCGTCACTGTCACTGCCTCCACGGAACGGATTGAAGTCTGACAGCTCTGAGTCTGATCCAGGCGGCCTCTGTTCCTCATCGGATTCCGCTTCCAGTTCATCTTCCGAGCCTCGCACGAATTCGTCAGAGGACGAGTTTCCGCGCATGCGCTTGGCTGCTTGATTCACTTGCTGTCTTGCTGTTACTACAACATAATAAAAGAGGTTTGATATTAAATCCTTGTTTATATGTTTGCATGTTTGTTAATAGCTTTATACACAGTCTTCATATTTTCAAAAACCCTTTTTTACACGCTTTATATTAGCTTCACTTGTATGTTAGTTTGTATGTTGGTAACCAACTCCTTTGGGCGTGATTTTGACTGACTTTAAATGGTCAGAATTCGTTCAAACTTTGTAGATATATCGAGGACCGATGACAATACACTAATTAAAAAATAAAAAAAAAGTTTTAAATCCAACGCCTTTTTTCAAATTTATTTTCTATTTTTTAGTTTGCTTTTCTATAGAAAGCGTGTTTTTTAGTTTTCTAAAACTATAATTTTTTTTTACAAACAATTTTACTAAAGTCAGTCTAATTTTATTACAAAATTGTGTTTGGGTGTAATTTATCTATAATATGTATGTATTTAGAAATATATAAGTATGTTTATCAGCAGTCTGGTTACCATAGTACAGGCACTGTCTAGTTTAGAATCAGATAACCGTGTATGAGATGTATAGAGTAGACTTGCAACGAATAGTATATTCGGCAGTGTACCGAATACCGAATATTCGGCGAGGCCCCTGACCGAATAGCCGAATATTAGGCAAAAGTATTCGGCTGGATTTTAGCGCCAAAAACTTGTACAGACGTGAATTCAATTATGTACCTGTTTTATGTACCAATGACTAATTAATAAATGATCATAAAAGAAATAAGAACCTTACCCTTCTAAATTTTGATTACCACAATAATTCAAATACATAAAATCCTCCATTTTTCCAATTCAGAAGATGATTATGTACCTGTGTTATGCACCAATGACTACTTAAATGATTATCACAGAAATGAAAATATGAATAAATCCGTAATCAATCGATTTTAATTTTTCATTTTACCAATTATTTCTCAATGACAAAATATATTATTTAAGTATTCGGTATTCGGCCGAATAATATGTAGATATTCGGTATTCGGCCGAATATAATAAAAGCAGCCGAATAGGCCGAATACCGAATAGTAACCGAATATTCGTTGCAAGTCTAGTATAGAGTTATTATTATTATTATTTAAATAAACCCCTTAATACTTACACTTTCTCTTAGACGTATTTGCTTCATCTTCAAGCCCGTTTTTGTTTCCGTTCTGTTGCTTGTGTATGGCGGCCGCGGCGGCTTTCCCTCGGGGCGCTTCTAAACCGAGCAGACGGTTGATTCTGTTACGGTCTGGAGCTGGAAAGTGTTTTTCCACTAGGGTTTGGAAGACGCCTCTGTGAAATGAAAGAAATCAAATTTTAGTTTGGAAATTTTATAATTGTTGTCGATGATTTTATCCGTGTGGTGACGGATTAAGAATAAAGTGTCACCACCCCTATTCATCCCGTGGGTGTCGTAAGAGGAGACTAAGGGAGAAAACTACGCAGGACACCAGCACTGCAGAGAGAAGGAAAACTTGACACAAACCCTAGACCAACCCGTCTGGCCAGCGTGGTACAGTAGGCCGAAACCTCATTTCTAAGGAGAGGCCTATGTCCAGAAGTGGACTATTAAAGGCTGTTGATGATGATGATGATTTTAAAATGTGCACAACGGCTGTGGTTATACTTATTCTATGTCCCTTTCTATGTCATCTACTAGTAGATCCTTCTAGGAATCCTCCTTCTCTTTCAAATATTCCCGCGCCATACAGTCATATGAAAAAGTAGATAATGTTTTGAAGACATAAAATCAATAAAAGTCACACAGTTTAAAATCAATGTTACACTCGACGTTGAATGGGCGAAAGATAAGTACATTTTACCTTGTTTTTTTCGGCAGCACTTAAGTTTATTTGACGACCGGATGGCGTAGTGGTTTGTGTTAAGGACTGCCATTCCATTGGTCGCGGGTTCGATTCCCGCTCAAGTCAAACATTTGTGTGCATGAACATTTAATGTTTGATTTGGTCTGGGTGTTTCTATGTATAATAAGTATGTATTTACAAAAAAAAAGTACATATGTATTTATATCAGTTATCTAGTACCCATAGTACAAGCTTTGCTTAGTTTGGGACTGGATGGCGTTGTGTGAATGTGGTAGAATATTATTATTATTATTTATTTATGACACACAATACAACAATTTTTACAGGTTTTGTATCTAATACAATAGTGTAGCCATTCGTTGTAAAAACATGTAAATTAATAAATAATACCCATTAAATTAAAAATTTTAACAACCTCACTCATCTCGCCAGCATCACGGTAGCCGGACCGACAAACACAGACAAACCACTCCCAGACACAGCACCTATTAACCCGCTTATCACACAACTACTCGTTCCGGGCGAAGTTAATTTAATCTAAACGAAACCATTAAAGATGCGCACTGAAACACATGCTCACACAAGCAGGTAGCATCAGAACTATTTTTCTTTTTAATTCTAAAAGACAACTCCTGTATAGCCTTCAATATATCCTGCCGTCGCGGGGGACTTCACAAACATCTGTGATATGGACACGAAGAACACCTAGACTCAGAACAACAATTTATGGATGCAGTGTTGTCTAATATGGGGATCGAACCCACACCACTAGGTAGTAGGAAGTCACGAGGTGACCACTTAAACCACTACACCACCCGTTCATTAGTTTTTGATGTTGCTTTTTTTCTTTATGGTCTAACAGTGGCCGAGACAGCCCGTAGTCAGGGGGCTACTCACTTGGCAGTGGACACAAAGTCGCTGAGCTCCCCGTCGTCCCGCTCGAGCTGGTCGAGGGTGCGAGCCTCGCCCGTGCTCTGCAGGCCGATGTTCTAGTGTATGGGCGACGGTGTAAGCACGCCAGGGCTACTCACTTGGCAGTGGACACAAAGTCGCTGAGCTCCCCGTCGTCCCGCTCGAGCTGGTCGAGGGTGCGAGCCTCGCCCGTGCTCTACAGGCCGATGTTCTAGTGTATGGGCGACGGTGTAAGCACGCCAGGGCTACTCACTTGGCAGTGGACACAAAGTCGCTGAGCTCCCCGTCGTCCCGCTCGAGCTGGTCGAGGGTGCGAGCCTCGCCCGTGCTCTACAGGCCGATGTTCTAGTGTATGGGCGACGGTGTAAGCACGCCAGGGCTACTCACTTGGCAGTGGACACAAAGTCGCTGAGCTCCCCGTCGTCCCGCTCGAGCTGGTCGAGGGTGCGAGCCTCGCCCGTGCTCTGCAGGCCGATGTTCTAGTGTATGGGCGACGGTGTAAGCACGCCAGGGCTACTCACTTGGCAGTGGACACAAAGTCGCTGAGCTCCCCGTCGTCCCGCTCGAGCTGGTCGAGGGTGCGAGCCTCGCCCGTGCTCTGCAGGCCGATGACCACGCACTTGCCGCACTTCACCGCCTCACGGGCCGTCACCACTGCGTGATTCACCTGGAACAGTCTTATTTGTTACACGTCACCATCACCATGAAAGATAGAGGAAGGAGGTGGACACCAATATACATCTACACATTTTGGGTTAATTATGTAACTTACTAGAAGTGGTTTTTTTTTAAACTAATTAATCGCGCTATGTATAATGTCTGAATTACTTACATTTTACTTAATTTCATTTTTAAAAATGCATATTAAATTATTTGTCTATATATTCTATAAAATATATATATATATATATATAGACAGTGTTACTTTGAAAATATGGGACTTTTTATTTGTTATGTTATATTTTTATATTCAATAAATAATTTATTTATTGATCATAACCGTGGGAGAACCATGCTTCGGCCCATTATGGCCGGCTTGACCGAAGTGATACCACCGCCTCACAGAAAACTGAAGACCAATTCTCGCAATAAAAGTTCGGTCAGAATTGAGTCCTGATCAACTTTCGTAGTAAAGTATTAAACATCCAACGTTGACTGTAATGTGATTATATCGTATTGTAACCGAAAATTGAATCAGTAACCTGCTAGTCTTAGTAATACTTTACTATTTTACTACAAACATACCTTTTATGAAAGTTGTGAGATCGGAACTGAATTGAAACCGAACTTATATTATATGAATTGGCCTTCTGGTGTGGTAAGTAAAACCCATTATAACAAATGTGTCGAAGAAATGATGCAAGTCTACTGACCTTCGCAGCTATACACAGGTACTTGAAGAACCGTTGGTGCGCCGACCAGAACTGTCCCCACATGGTGGTCTTCATACGAGACTCCGCGTTGATCAGCTCGGCCGCCTCCGTGAAACGCTGCATGGCCTCCACCCACTGGGATCAAAACACACATATGTTATTTTCTATACTTATTTAGTTAAACTGAAAAGTTTTTGGTTTGATTGTTTATTTATTGTCCGTGTGGTGACGGATTAAGAATACAGAGTGTCACCATCCCTATTCATCCCGTGGGTGCCGTAAGAGCCGACTAAGGGAAGCTGAACAACAGCACTGCAGAGAGAAGGTAAACTTGACACAAACTCTATACCAACCCGTCTGGCCAGCGTGGTACAGTAGGCCAAAACCTCCTTTATAAGGAGAGGCCTATGTCCAGCAGTGGACTATTAAAGGCTGTTGATGTGTTGATTTTTGTTTATACGAGCCAATCTGTGACTATAGATCAATTTTCAATTGGTATGGAATATAACTTTGAATGGCCTGATGTTTCGACCAAACTAAGCTACATAGGCCGATGTATACAGAGCTGACTGACTGACTGTTGACTTAGGAAAGTAAACTATAATAATATTTAAAAAAAAAACGTTTATTTGCCATGAAATGATTATAATCTTAATTCTTTAAACTTAATTGTATATGCTGGATTGCAAAAGTTATAAAGTCAGTAATCTGTAGTTAGTCAGTTTAATTAGTCAAATCAACATATATAATAGTAACAGCAGTACAGAAAGTGTTACATTAACAAGGGTGTATGTTGCACCATTCAAAAATACAGTTAGTGATAAATAAGCGGTCACATCTCCAAAAAGAAGAATGCATTAGTAAAGAGTAATCAGGAAAAGATGTAGAGGTTGTCCCTTTCTTACTCATATTTTGAAATCCAAACAGGGTATTAGAATAGCTTTTTTTATAAGTTTATAGTAAAACCAGTGCCAAGTAAGCAAAGTGCCAGGAATATTAATTCATTTCAATTTTTTTCATTTTCATTATTTTAAGTCAACTTCCGAACTATATACATCAAACGGATACAAGAAACAGTCAGACTCAGGTCATCAATTTGTAGATCACGCAAAGTGTTGGCTCATTTGGGTATCAAACCCACAACACCTAGCGCAGTCCGCATTCGTGCAGTCGATTCTGCAGTGCAGTGGATTGCACGGATGGCGGCAGTGGTTTAAGGGGTCTCCACGCCGTTTCCTACTGCGCCGAGTGTTGTGGTTTCAAACCCCACGTGGGAAGACACTTTGTGTGATCCACAAATTCACAAACATCTGGGTGTTCTTTGTGTTCGCTTCATGTATGTTTGTAAAGTCCCCCGCGACACAGGATACATTCCTAATGCGGGAGTTTTATTTTTAAAAAAGAAAAAAAAAAGATTCTAAGTGTGGGCAATGTAGTTTAGTACTTACGAGAGAGACAGCCTTGTCGTAGGTCTCGCGGAAGGATTCGGCGAGCGGCACCTCCTCGATCTTGAACGACACGCCGTGGAAGGAGAGCTGGCGCGCGATGTACATCCCACGAAGCTTCATGTCCATCGCTACTATCTCCATGGCACCCACGCCCCTGTTAACATCACAAATTATTTATTTGCTTTATGTTGGCCGGCGTGGTATAGTAGGCCAAAACCTCCTTTCTAAGGCGAGGCCTATGTCCAGCAGTGGACATAGGCTGATGTGATGATGTGATTTGCTTTAAATGGGGTAGTAATTTGTGGTATTGTATTAAAAGTTGGATATAAATCGAACAGGTTCATTAAGCTATAGCATGCAAATTTAACAAATTATTAATTAGTAGGTACCTAAATAATATTAATATTATTGTCTTTGATAGATACACACATGTAAATTAGCTGTTTTCCCACTTCGGGGTAAACACACGATTAGTGTTAAATAAGTGGTGGACCGAATGTCATGTCCTTCCAACACTAAAGGGATCTATCTGTTGATCATGCCTGGCAAATGTTGATGTTAGAATTTTTTATAATGATGATGTATGTATATATGGCGATGATTAAAAGTTCTTTGATAAACAATCATGAAGATGAATTTTTTATATCGCGATACAGGATTAGCTCCGTAGCTCAGTGGCGCTGAAGATTTTTTTTGTTTCATTGTATGTGGAATTCATCACTCATACGTTAATGTATACAAATAAATAAAATTGGAGTGTCTGTTTGTAATATTAAAATAACCGCTTTTTACTAAATGCATATGTATGTTTACACGGTACATATGCCAAAATAACATTTTTTACAATTTTTGTCTGTCTGTCTGTTCCGGGTAATCTCTGGAACGGCTAGACTGATTTCGACGGGACTTTCACTGGCAGATAGCTGATGACGTAAGGAGTAACTTGGGCTACTTTTTTTAGACTAGCTTCGTTGCCCGCGGTTATAACAACAAACACGGGTAACACCGCGGGTCTCAGCTAGTACGTTAATAAAGTATGAAATGTGAAGACTAAATCAGAGAGCAATATAGAATATAAATTCCATGTTTGTTTAAGTTTTTTATTCAGTCCTTTACTGATATCTATCAAAACATTGACGTAAAACATTCGTTCATGATGAGGGTGACTAGATTATTGGAGGAATTCCATGGACAGCAACGCACTGTGACTCTTGAGTCTGTGGCGACTTCCACTTACGGTGAAGCAAACAAACATACAACAGCATCATCTATCGAAGACACACCGAACTACGGAGTAACTCCTACAGCTATACATATAGCTAGTATACATGGGTGGTGGTAATTATTTACCATCAGCTGACTCGTTCGCCGCCTTATACCATGAGAAAAGGTGAGAAGAACAAAGGCTAGTAGTCCCCAAAAACAATGTTGTGGTATATTTAATGATGTCATTGTTTCTATCTGTAAATGCAATTCCTATAAGACTCAATTCCTTGGAAACGGTTATTTGAGTGAGTGAGGTTACCGGAGCCCAAATCCCCGCTCCCGTTTAAATCAGCGGGCAGGGCAGCAAAGCACTTGTGACTTTTGAGTTGCAGGTGTCCATGGGCGGCTGTAGTTGCTTAACATCAGGTGACCCGTCTGCTCGTTTGCCCCCTTATACCGTAAAAAAGGGCAGTCTTAGATCGGCACAGGCATATCATAGATTTTGTATAAGTTTTTTTTTTTTATTTTTTTTTCTTACTATTTGAGAAAACAGATAGTTGCTATTATGTGTGTTGATCCATGACGAGTCTACAGACGATTTCAAACTTTTTTTTTTTTATGAAAAAGATACTTAAAGTATACCTCTTCTCGACGGCGTTGATGAAGTCCATGAAGGTGGGGAAGGGCGTGCCGTCCCCCCAGATGCCGAGGCGCACCATGTAGGCCATGTTGCGCGGCTCGGACGCGCCCGTGGCGGACGCGTACACGACGCGCGCCTTGGGCAGCTTGTTCTGCAGCTCCAGCGCCGTCAGGCCCGTCTTCGTGGCCTTGCCCGACCCCACCGGGCACAGGTTCTTGGCCTTGTGGCACTCGTCGAAAACGATCTATGTGCTGGTTAAGGGAACTAAAGTACGCTTTGTAAAACTCATGTCATATTGGTTTCCATCATATCATGTCATAAACAAATAAATAAAATTAAAGTGTCTGTTTGTAATGTCATAATAATAGATTTTTTTCATGGTCACACGGTTATTTGCACAATACCTACGACTAAAAATCAATTTAAATATTTTTTGTCTGTCTGTCTGTTTGTTTGTTCCGGGTAATCTTCAAAACGGCTGGACCGATTTTGAACATATTTTACTACCGGGTAGCTTTCTATATGAGGAATAACTTATGCTGTTTTTCCTCTCAAAAAACGCCTATAAAATTTTGTCCGGTCCAGCAATCGAGCCCGACTCCTCATGAACTGTAGTCGCGCAACGTACTACACAACTAAGGCAGCGCTTTTCTAATTCAACGCGAACGAAATCGCGGGTACCAGCTAGTATAAAATATATATCTAACTAACTTTAAAATGATGTTAAAGTGATGTTGACGACCGGATGGCGTAGTGGTTTGTGTAACGGACTGCTATTCCAAAGGTCGCGGGTTCGATTCCCGCTCAAGTCAAACATTTGTGTGCATGAACATTTGATGTTTGATTTGGTCTGGGTGTTTCTATGTATAATATGTATGTATTTACAAAAAAAAAAAGTATATATGTATTTATATCAGTTGTCTAGTACCCATAGTACAAGCTCTGCTTAGTTTGGGACTAGATGGCATTGTGTGTATGTGGTAGAATATTATTATTATTATTATTATTATGTTCTAAATTGGACAGTTTTTTTTTTTGTGTAAGTCACGCGTCACACAAAAAAACAGTCAGGCGTAAATTTAACGACATCTGACGGATTAACAATACGGAGTGTCACTACTCCTAATCATCCCGTTGATATTCACATTAACAGCCTTTAATAGTCCACTGCTGGACATAGGCCTCTCCTTAGAAAGGAGGTTTTGGCCTACTATACCACGCTGGCCAGACGGGTTGGTATAGGGTTTGTGTCAAGTTTTCCTTCTACCGCAGTGCTGTTGTTCTGCGTAGTTTTCTCCCTCAGTCGGCTCTTACGTCACCCACGGGATGAGTAGGGGTGGTGACACTGTATTCTTAATCCGTCACCACACGGACAGTTGATATTCCGTTGATATTCCCCCAAGTATTATGGTATTTTTTAAAAGGATACACATCCGTCGAAGTCTTCTCCGCACCACTGCAGCAGCTGCTTGAGTCTGGTGCGGTACTTGGTGTTGGAGGACTGAGTCTCGCCGATCAGAGCGGAGTAAGTGCTGAATATCACGCCCTTCTTCACATTGCCGTTCACTGCTGATGATATCTTCGCGTATTTAAACTGGCAATAAAAAAAAGAAAATTAATATTATCATCATAACATCAGCTTCCTATCCAAGTCCAAATTTACTTGGAGTCAGTGCAATATCTAAAGTTCCATGCCAACAATACATCTTTCTCAGTTGAGACAAAGAAAGGTGGTAAATTGTGGTAAAGAGAAGGGATATGCTGGGGTAAGGGTTACCACCGGATGATGGGAAGCGTTTTGCCGCGGTAGTATTAGGCGTTTCACCAAACGATGTGACGCCTGGAGCTTAAATTTTTGTTATAAATAGACGTTATCTGGTCCGATTTTAGTCAGGCATCTCCAAAATACTCAGTTAGTAAAAATGTATATCTTAAATACTTAAAAATTTAAGCGAAAATAAAGATATCACATGGATATAGATATAATGTTACCTTATTAAGAGGATGTACTTCGATCTTGGAAGCACCAATGTCCCTGAGGTCCCTCTCCGCATCGTATTTGAGATCATTGGAGACGGACACCCAGATGGCTCGCTTGCGACCCTTCAAGTAGTTCTCGAAAATGATGCCAGCGATTGTACGGCCTTTGCCCACGCCAGCACCGTCACCTGTACAAAAATAGTGTGGATACATATAAATTAAATTAAATATTCTACCCCATTCACACAACGCCATCTAGTCCCAAACTAAGCAGAGCTTGTACTATGGCTACTAGACAACTGATATAAATACATTTATACTTTTTTTTGTAAATAGATACTTATTATACACAGAAACACCCAGACTAAATCAACCATGACATGTTCATGCACGCAAATGTTTGACTTGAGCGGTAATCGAACCCGCGACCTTTGGAATAGCAGTCGCATATAATAAAAAGGAATAATTTTTCATGACATTTCTAATTTAGCGCAGACTAAAGTCCGCCGTAGAAAAGTTTACATACGACAAGCACTTACCAATTAAAAAGCCTGCTCTGGTGCCATCAGGCAACAAGTGTTCGTGCGCCTGCGATGCATACACAACAGCTTCGAGTTGCAGCGCGGACAATAGTCCGCCGCGTATCGTATCATCTGGGAGACTTAATTTGTACGTCACATCTACTGGCTCCACTGAAGATAGTGAAGCTGTTTCCACCACTGGATCTGGGTGTTTGCGTCCTAGTTTTACTGTAAATAAATACACATACATGTTATACTTAACACTTTTTAGTGTGAACAAGATAGACGCCATATTTTTTTTAATATTTGACTCTTCCAAGATTTTTATAATGTTGTTCAAAAGAAATTTAAATTGAAATATTTCTTACTATAATTAAACTTTATTTGTTAAGTTAGTGTAATCCATACCAATTAACTATGCAATATTTTCATGTTTTTTTTATGGTATAAGGGGGCAAACGAGCAGACGGGTCACCTGATGGTAAGCAACTACCGCCACCCATGGACGCCTGTGACTCAAAAGTCACAAGTGCGTTGCTGCCATGGAGTCCCTCCCGCTCGAGTCAGCGGATTTGGGCTCCGGTAACCTCACTCACTCAGTGAAAGGCAACGAAAGAATTGTTTAACACCGTTTTCTGTGAGGCCGTGGTATCACTCCGGTCGAGCCAGCTTATGGGTGCCGAAGCATGACTCTCCCACGGTAAGAATTAAGAATTACAAACTAAACACTTTTTTTAATAAATATTGGTAAAAAAAGGATTATTTTTGTTGCCATAGTATTAATAGTAATATTTTTATTGATTCGATTATTTTTTCCCAACACGGTTTAATTGTATAAAATATTTTAACACGTTACACCCTGTCGTGGTAACCACCTTGGGCGGAGGAGAGTTCTCTCCTTGCCTTCCAGAGGCAGCACACTACGAACTAAGCCAAGTTTTACCTTAAGCTCTACTTACATTTTGGAGGCATATAATCTGCGTATGTTTCAGCTACACCCATTTCTTCATCGTCCACTTCTTCTTCGTCTCCGGGCATCTAAACAAAGTAATTTTACGTTTATAGCACATATTTTTAAACATTAAATCTATCCCATTTGTTTAAAAAAGTATAAATAATTATTTCCACATATTAATTTATATGATATCATCAACAGCCTGTAATAGTCCACTGCTGGACATAGGCCTCTCCTTAGAAAGGAGTTTTTGGCCTACTATACCACGCTGGCCAGACGGGTTAGTATAGGGTTTGTTTCAAGTTATCCTTCTCTTTGCAGTGCTGTTGTCCTGCGTAGTTTGCTCCCTTAGTCGGCTCCACGACACCCACGGGATGAATAGGGGTGGTGACACTCAGACAGATAAAAAGAATCAATTATTTTTCTACTCACCTTTTCTGGCTGCCACATGTTCCCGGGTTTCCCTTGTGCCCACATGGGGCCCACTTGTGCGAACTGACCCAACATACCAGCCAAAGGCCCACCCATGCCAGAAGCTAGGATCTGATTCAAATTCTGTAGTAGGTACGAGTTCATACCCGTCATGCCCACCATCTCCACTGTTGAGAAAAAAAGACGGGTCAGTTAAAACTGTACAATCTTGGCAATATTCTTTTCCAACTATTACTGCTACTGTACAGCATACATACTGCTAATTTACTGCATTCCATAAATGGACTTCGAGAATATTCTTTAGCTTAAAAAAAAATATTATTAAACTCTTAGAGTATATTCGAAAATTTTTAAGCGCAAAGAAATAAAATGAATCACACAATTATGTTTGTTGTGTTAACTAGATAAGGTTAAAAAGATTTCTGCTAACTGTAGTAGGACTAATTCACTGCTACAAGCGTATATCTTTATTAGTCATTTTGATGTCTAAACAATTGATTACATATATGAAATGTATATACAATATATTAGATCTTTTGAGATTCTCTTTTTAAGAGACCTTAGTCGGTACTTCCTCACAGAGTTAATTGTTAATCGAAATAAAAATAGACAATGGAACCCGGACCCCCTTTTTTCTTAACCGATTTCGTTTATCAATTATAGTTACTATTGATTTTTAGGTTTAGAAATAACAAAAAAATGATTTCAATAAATAAGTAAATTAAGGGATAATTACTACTACCGAGCAATAACTTTATATAAATCTTGCAGTAAAAGTTGTAATACAATAGATAAGATACCTATGAGGAGAATGAACTACCAATAATCTACTTAGAACTTTTCCAAAAAAAAAACAAAGCAATTTATTCAATATAATTACAGACAAAAAAAAATTACAAGACTACATATTACTTTAAAAAATATATAGAAGTCTATATATAGAACATCATCATCATCATCAGCCTATCGCAGTCCACTGCTGGACATAGGTCTCTCCCATTGCACGCCACTTAGATCGATTTTGGGCTTCTCGCATCCAGAACATACTAAGCTTTAAAATATTCTTTACACTACATTGTTAAATTTAAAATCTGGGTCACCTAGGTCGTATCTAAAAATACCAAACAAAGCATAGAAACTGGGTAGGCAAACAAATGAATAAGTTAAAACCGATGCACGGTTCGGAGAATTAAATCGATTGGAGTGATCAGATAATGTTATAGCGTTGAGTACTACAAAAAATTGTAAAAAAAAACTTGATTAGAAGAGAAAAATGTTAGTCTATGTACAAGAAAAATGTTAGGATACATTCACAATGTTTACAGATTTGACGCCAAAATATTCGATTTCTTCAAAACCTCTTTTTTTTTAATACGTAAACACATTTATACATTTGCGCCTATATCTACAAAGGGCCTACCCCTTTGGAGAAGCGTATTAAACGCATAAATTTAATCTTATTTACGTATTAGGATAAAAGTCCCTACGCAATAAAAAGAGCTACATTCTATTGTCAAACAAAATATAAACTAAGGTTTTTTATAATATAATACAATCAAGTAAAACCTATTTTGAAGTCAAATCAGCAACTTTATAATTTATGAATGCACCGTTAAGGGATCTAGATTCAATTTATAGTTTGAATAGCATATTCCTTAAAACAGCTACAACTTTTGATTTCATTTCCAAATTCCTACAATAATATTATAAATATTCAAGAGACCACAAATAATATACTATTTTTTTGTATCTGTCATCTTTAGCCCTATCTTTTATGAGTTCAACTCACAGACTAGAATACAGATATATTTTTTTCTTTGTCTATGGCTCAAGAATTTGTTTTGCAAACATTATACAAAATGTTTTTCGTGCTTAAGAAATGTAGTCCACTTATGTCCACGATTTCTTATGGCTAAATAATAATAATAATAATCGGTAAAGTCATTGTAACTATGGGAAATTAAAAACAAATTTTCTATTTTTAATTATTCGGATTACCATTATGGAGCAAGTCAATAAACAACCACATCATCGACTCGCCAATCTTTGGTAATTATTTCCACCGCGTGCTAAATACTGTTTAGTAATAAACCTCACTTTAACGCAAAAGAAAATACGGTGGTGGGTTTCTTCGTGGTATCAAAAAACAGCATGTTATGTTAAAAAGAAATTACTATTTGCAACTTGGTTAATAAGCAAAATATTTTAAAAGATAATTTTTAGTAAATATGCGTAGGAACCACAAAAAATATCTAGTTTAGTCTACTTTCTACATTATAGTCATTCACTGCGGGCACACAACAGCCGTACTCACTCTGAGCGAGCAGCGAGGCCGCGCTGAATGCGGCCGAGGAGCCCGCCGCAAAAGGTGCCGGTGGCGCCATGCTCGCCGCTGAGCAACAACCATGGTTAGTGCACTTCCATATTAAGAGCAATGTCCAACTACATAGTCCAGATTTAATAGTCCTACCAAGAAATTATGTCTGTTTATTATGAAAAGCCTTATTCTTGTGCAGAAAATTTCAGTTTCACGTTCACTAGTTGGATTATTTCATCCTCTAATTTTCTCATTTCTAGATTTTTTTATTGTCAAGAGAGACCTTTTTTTAGGTAACTAAGGGCATTATTTTTCATCTCACAAGTAAAAAAGCGAGAAAGTAGAATAAAAACGATAAAGCGCCTTTTTTGGGCTTTTTGGCATAATTTCACGTAACAAATTAGAGAAGCGAGAAACAAGAATAAAAAGGCTGCAGCGCCTTATTTTAGGCAATTGAAGGCATTATTTTCACGTCACAAGGCAGAGACGGAAAAGAGCAGCTACAAGGAACTTGGTATCTTTTTTCTTAACATAAGTATGATGATTATTTTTCAATATTAAGCTGCAAATATCTTTAACCAGAGCCGGTGTAGGTCGATCGAAACATCAAACGACGAAACGGTTTGGTTTACATAGGTTTTCAGCCATTGCTCTTTTTTACACCTAGACTAAGTTACCAATTAAATTGAACGAAAAAAATCTTTATTACACATTGAATGCGTTGTGACAGTTGATCCCCGATCGACATTGCACTTAATGTGAACATGGGCTTACTTCGATAGAGACTTAATAATAACGTTAACTACAAATATTTATCAGAAAATTAAATAATATTTGAAATTGAATAGGACACTAAGGCTTCTGTTTTTTTTTAATTGCGTCAGTGACCGGTCCGCTCTTCATTCTACAGCAACAAACTGCATAGTACAGAAATAAAATTATTACTGTCATAAATGTGAAAGTTTAGATTAATGTTTATCATTCAATCACCACTGAACGGCTAAACGGATCTGGATGAAATTTGGCACAGAGATAGATTCCAGCCTGGAATAGGTCAGGTCATAGGCTACCTTTTATCAAGCCAGAATGAGTTTAAATTGATGCAGTGTATTCTAATTCAGACAAAAGACATTTTACAAAACACAAATTGCATTATTTTTCGTATATTTCTCGTGGTGGTGTTGCAATAACAAACACATAAGTAGTAGTGATAAGAAGTACATGAAAAACGTTTCTGCGTTCTGTCATAGTAACAAATCTATATACATACATCGAAATGGTATATGATTGTGATGATAAAAAAGTGGATCTAATCGCGAAAATAGGCTAAAGAAACATTAACTTACTGGATCTATTTCAGACAGTGATAGGATAGTTGATTTTTTTGGAACAATATCGACTTATTTTAAATGTTTATAAGTTTTTTCATCAGAGGAATAAATTAACTTACGTGCGCCCCTCCCGAGGCCAGATATGTTGATGGGTTTCGTAAGGGAACTGGCAGAGATCTTGATCGGTTTCACGTTACTGGCCTGTCCGAACGCCTGCCCTGATGCAGCTGTGAAATAAATCCAAAGTAGTAGGGTATTCTCTAGGGAGAAAGAGGTTCTGTATTTTCTCACATATTTAAGTTACTGGAATCAAGTTTCATAATCATATAGGCCTCTCATCTATGGTGGTAGAATTTTCTTGCATTCCATAGGTGGCCTCACCTGTGCACTATGAGTAGTAGTTATGTATCTAATGGTAGGTAGGAAAAAATTTAACATACTGCTGTCTAATCTTCAATTTGGTAGAGCCGGTACTAAGGCTGTAGGGCTGCTAATAATTATACTTATGTTATATTTCTAAATATATCATCATCATTATCATCAACAGCCTTTAGTAGTCCACTGTTGGACATAGGCCTCAACGTAGAAAGGTTTTGGCCTACTATACCACGCTGGCCAGACGGGCTATTACGGTTTTTTTTTTAAGTTTTCCTTCTCTTAATCAAGTTCCAATTTTTATTAGTTTTTTTTTGGATGTCAGTTAGTAAAGTCGTGAACAGCCAGTTGACTGATCCAATACGTATAGATCGTATGGAGAAGAACTGACAAGAAGTTTCTTCTATTCTATTTTTATTGTTTACTAGCTGACCCGCGCAACTTCGTCTGCGTCTCTCAATAGTAATAAATTTTCTCAGTTTTTTAAACATTCTTTATTGGTGCTCAGCTCCTATTGCTCTTAGCGTGATGATATATAGCCTATAGCCTTCCTCGATAAATGGGCTATCTAACACTGAAGGAATTTTTCAAATCGGACCAGTAGTTCCTGTGATTAGCGCGTTCAAACAAACAAACTCTGCAGCTTTATAATATTAGTATAGATTGATTACAGTTGAAGGTGGTGAGAAAATAATAATTGGAATCGAAGTAACGAAGCTATCACGTAACATACACAAAATAACATACGATCTAATTGATAAATCTCACTCATTTCTAAAGTCAATGTAAAAGATCGCCTTGCTTGGGAAGTTAGTTAACATGTCATTAGGTTAGTAACACGAGGTTCCATTAATACTTTTTGGTGTTATCACTATTAAGAAAAGTACAACCTTTTTTTTTTTTTTTTTTTTTCCCTCCCCTCGGATACCACCTGTCGGTGGCATGTCGGACTCGAACCGACTAAAACCGCACGCCTTCGCCGGGTACTAATAGCCGGTGAACCAGGTATACCCTAGAAAGGAAGGCCCTGGTGCCCCGACATACCTCGGGTCATCTACAGACGAGTAGACGACCCCCGCCCCGTGTGGGAACCCCATGTTCCCTGTGCTCCCTGGAAGCGAGCGCGCTTCGCAACGCGCTCGCCGCCACCCCGGCCTGCTTCTGCTAGGGTGACAGATGGCCTCACCTGTCACCCCCAGGCCTGCGCTTATGGAGGACGGAGGTCGTTCTGCGACCTCCGGCGCCTGAGTCGCCTGCGCTGCCTGGCCCGTGCCCGGGCCTGGCGGGCCGGGAGAGTTCTAAACCTCTCCCGGTCCCGCTCCGCCGTCTCCTTCGCGAGCATAACTTGCTCGCAGAAGGAGACGGCAGAGTTCCACGCACTCTCGCTCCGCACGATAGCCGCAATCAGGCTATCGAGCGAGAGAACTCCCACTCCGATGGCCGCCACGAGGTCTCGCCTCTGCTCAACCCACGCCGGGCACTCTGCCAGCGTGTGGTCGTATTGTGAGCCTGGTTTTTGAAATTGCTTTAGAAAAAAAATCTTAGAGTTTATTTTCATTAAGTGTGCATTTGTTCACTGCAATTTCACATAGAATTATAGTTAGGACATATAAAGTAAAATAAAATCTTGGTATTCACTTACCTGCCAATGGATTTGTAGTTGGTTTGACTGTGACCTGTGGTGTAACTGTAACTTTCTTGTCTGCCATGCGGGCAGCAGCCGCCAGGGTCTTGCCACCACCTGCACAAACAAAATTAAACCATTTTGACATCTAGTGGTTTTAGATACTGCACTATCTGTATCCTGACTGTAGTATATCATACAAGAACCAACTAAAACCACACAGCGTTTCGTGATCCAGTCAGAGTAAGTCGACCCTGCTGATGAGTAAGAGACACCTTAGAGATATCGATCATTATTTATTTATTTACTAGCTGGCCCGGCAAACGTTGTTTTGCCATATACATTATTTCAAATTTTTTTGTCAAAAAAAATAAAATTGGTTTATGAAAAATAGATGTTGGCAAATTCTCAGACCTACCCAATATGCACGCAAAATTTCAGGAAAATCGGTGGTGCCGTTTGGGAGGAGTTCAACTTCTAACACCGTGACACGAGAATTTTATATATTAGATAGATGTTGGTCGATTCTCAGACCTACCCGATATGCACACAAAATTTCACAAAAATCGGTCGAGCCGTTTCGGAGGAGTTCAACTTCTAACACCGTGACACGAGAATTTTATATATTAGATAGATGTTGGTCGATTCTCAGACCTACCCGATATGCACACAAAATTTCACAAAAATCGCGAGCCGTTTCGGAGGAGTTCAACTTCTAACACCGTGACACGAGAATTTTATATATTAGATTATAGACACGCCAACAGTATTCCTATACAACATTGTTCAAAATGCAGTTCAATATAAACGATAGATCTTATATGTAGACCAATAACAGGCATATACAGTATATTAAACTTGTATATTCAGTAACAAGTAGGGTATAACTATAACACAGGTGTTCAAATATAACTGCACGGATGGCATAGTGGTTAAAGCGGTCGCCATGCCGCTTTCTACTGCGCTTAGTGTTGTGGTTGCGAGCCCCACATGGGACAACACTTTGCGTGATCCAAAATTGATACTAAGTCTCAGTGTTGTTTGTGTCCGTTTCATGTATGTTTGTAAAGTTTACTTAGGGGACTTTACTAAATGCGGGAGTTGTCTTAAAAAATATATTTTGAGCCTTGGTTGACTTCTATATCTGTACCTAATGAATTTAACTAATTTACTAACTATTCTTAGGATTAACAAGATATACTTCAATTTGACCTGTACATATCTATTTTTGTAACGGAATTTTAAACGCTGGAGAACTATGCTTGTGCATATTTGGGCAGGCTCGACCGGGGTGACACCAGGTAGCTATCGGAGGATCGCCTAACTCTGGGGGGCACTCAATGATCTGTAACGACCTTGAGTCTCTAGGGCTGCAGGTTTACATGGGCGGCGGCAGTCTATTATCACGGTGACCTAGCAGCTCGTTTGTCCGCTACATTACAAGTTTCAACAGCCTTTAAAACCACTGCTGGTCATAAGCCTCTCCTTAGAAAGGAGGCTTTGGCCTACTATACCACGCTGGGCAGACGGGTTGGTATAGGGTTTGTGCCAAGTATTCCATCTCTTTGCAGTGCTCTTGTCCTGTAGTTTGATTAATAAGTTGGCTCTTACGACACCAACGGGATGAATAGGGGTCGTGACACTCCGTATTCTTCTTAATCCGTCACCACGCGGACACATCATACGTTAAAAAGAATTTAATCTGAAAGGGACTAAACGGGAATCCGTTAATCTCCTACATAAAAACAAGAATAATCCAAATCGGTGAATAAATAATGACGGAGTTCGGAGACAAAAAAAAAACGAATTGAAAACCCAACCCTTGTGAAACTGTTTACAAAGATTTTAAGTTAAAAATATGATTCACTGTTGTTAGGGAGTCAGCTCTCACATCGATTACTGGAACGAGTGACGCAGTTCACAACACCTATTTCAAAGAAATACGCCCACGGGAGTCCGTAGGAGTCAGTCTACATACAACAGGGTAGATCATCTAAATATAGTTGAATAATTTAAAAGAACGTATTATATAATAAGTCATGGAATGGAATAAAAATGTTTCGATACTTAGAAATCTTCTCACCCAGCTAAGGTAAGAAAGTTTCTTCATGAAAATATTTTATTTAGGCCCCAAAAAACCTCACACAAATCCTGGCTTGTATACAGCCCGTCTGACCAACGTGGTATAGTAGGCCAAAGCCTCCTTTCTAAGTAAGGATGGACTAAGGCAGTTACCGAATGGTGGCCAAGAGATGTGCGGCGGCCTCGAGGCAGACCACCTGCCCGATGGTCAGACGACATTGTGAGGGCGGTAGGAGAGCAATGGAGCCGGCTGCCACAGAACCGTGGCGTGCCGTGATAGAGAAGAGGCTTAGATAGATAGATAGTACCAAAGAACTTGACTATACTACTACCATACTAACCTGTCTGAAATGCGTGTTATAGTAGGCCAAAAGATTCTAAGTAGAAGCCTATGTCCAGCAGTGGACTATTAAGAGCTGTATAGTGAGCAAATATTAAATTACTAGCGTCTTGTGCTAGCGGTTCTGCTCCGTTTTAGCAGCATTTCCTTAAGAATTGCTTACTGGCCTTATTAATTGACTATCAAATGAAAAAACGTTATTTCCGTTGCGTGATTGTGACATAGGGATTAACGAAAAACGGGTAACGATGATGGTAAGTGTCTACCGACGCCCACGGACACCTGTTACTTAAAGAGACACAGGTGTATAACCGGCGTTTCAGGTACGAAGGAGATTGGAAATACGCATGCGTCTGGAAATACCTTAATGTCCTTGATAAGTCATTTTTTTAACAAACTTTAATAAATAGTGACGATCGATTACATCACAAATCTGCATGCGTCGGTTGAATACTTATGATAGTTATTTTTACAATAACATCCAAGGGTGCATCAAATTACGTACAAGGTGACTGTGGGGATTTCATGAATATGGGATAAAGCGCACGTAGAGGTCACGCTCGCCAACACGAATTGCGCAGTAGCACAACATTGTTTGTATGTCTTCAATTTTTCTTAGAAAAAACTTTTGTTTTGATGGGTCACGTTGAAATGTTGCGACAGAATTTGTCGGTAAGAAAGTTTTATAGTAGGTGAAATTTTGACTGCACGGATGGCGTAGTGGTTTAAGCCGTCACCTCGCCGCTTACTATTGCACCGTGTGTTGTGAGTTCAATCCCCAAATGGAACAACTGTTTGTGTGATCCAAAAATTGTTGTTTTAAGTCTCGGTGTACTTCTTGGCCGTTTCGTGATTATTTTTATTAATTAGTTTTAGAGTTATTATTATTAAACAAAAAAAGACGTTTTAAATTTCTTTTTTCTTTTAAAAGACAACTCCCGCACTAGGAATAAATTGTCGCGGGGACTTTACAAACATACATGATACGGACATGGGGATCGGACCCTCAGCACTCAGCGTAATAGTGAGCGACGTGGCGACCGCTTAAGCCACTAAGCCATCCGTGCAGTCAATTCATAATCTATGAGTCAAAATTAAAATTTTAATCTATGAGCACTTGATCAAGTCAGTTTACAAAAAAAAACAATTAAAGATCGATCTATGCGTTTAAGAGCAATGATTCCACAAACAGACATATGGATACACACTTTAATCCCTCTTAATGGATTTTACACTCCTGTTCTATGTAATACTATTGTCTTGAAGTGTTCAATTCACGTACTCGTCTAAATATCCGACGTGACCCCTATCCTACAGATAAAAGCCGTTTATCAGAAATAACAACCTAGTGTTATATTTCTACCTTTGAGTTAAGCCGCCAAGAAAGCCTTTGCATCGAAAGGGGATTAAAGAAATGTAGGTGCATTAATATAGTTAGAAAAAAAATGAAAAAAAGCAGTCTATATTTATATTAATTCATTCAAAAGTTCCTTGAACGATTAGATAAAATCTGATAATCGTCATATGGCTGAACAGATTTTCTTGAATTATAGCTAAGATATAGATAAGATAAACTCTCGATTAAGACTTTCAAGCAAGCAGAAAAAATAAATCAAAATCGGTCCATCTCTTTAGAAGTTTTAAAGCATTAGATACATTAAACTTATAAAAATATTATTTAATACTAACAGCTTTTGACAGCGGCTCCGCCTGCGTGCATGTCTGTTTTCGCGGTAAACAGTATTCTATAGCACTTAATGATAATATACCTTTCTAACAGTGAAAGAATTTTCAAAATCGGATCAGTAGTGCCGGAGATTACCCCGAACATACAATCTCACAAACTTTACTTCTTTACAATATTAGTATAGATTGATTGGATTCTTGTACCCATCCAAATGTAATAGCTCAACTCAACTTATTGAAGGCCTATCAAGAATGCTTGGGCTATAACGGGAGTAGTATAGGTCTGAATAGTTAACAATCCTTGAGTAGGACTTTTCCACTATAATGCGACCCCTCCAGTCTAACATTAAAATTATTAGCCTGCATTTGAAGAATACTTGGGCGCTTGTAGTGTGTCTGTACTTGCAAAAGGAAGGCATGACGGACCCCGGTAGGGCTATAATTGAGGAAGGTATATATTTTAATTTACCTGGTACTTCCAAATTATCTGGATCTTCATCGTCGTCGAAGTCTGAGTCGTCTGATGGTGTTGGTGGGTTGTCCTCGTCGTCGTACGCTGACCGTTTAGACTGAAAAATAATATGTTATTTTTATTAACCGATTTTAAAACTATGACAAGGACCGAGAAGACAATACATAATTATAAATGAAACATATAAATATTTATTTATCAATATTATTTTTTTAAAAACCCCCATCGACAGCCAACATCTTTTCACTCAAAAACCTTTGCAAAGATCGGGATAAACCCTTCGGTTTACCATTTACTCTGAAGGATGCTAAATCAGGTGAAGATGGAGGATTTAAATCAGGCTTTCTCCAATCTTCTGAATTTCAACGCGCGTGATTTTAGCAGTGCGAGGGCGCCCTTTGTTAAGTTGCAGGTTACACCGATTCACCAATGCAGGCATTTTTTCCCTGAATAGGCTATAGTTGACTCAATTTGAAAACTTGGTTAATTATATACTTTAATATCTATTTTATCCCAAAAAACCTATATTTTAAAGAAAAAGTAATATTTACATTACGTATTCTGTATTTAAAAAATCAATTTAAATTTCCCTTGAAAACCCTGAATAGTGTCATGGCGTCTTGAATGATGTCACAGTCTGCGTCCAGTGTCAACTGTTTTCTAAAAATGATTAAAGGAATAAGGAGTAACCTGCTCTGCTGTATGAAAACGTCAACAATAACAATGATGTTTTGCGTGGCGTGACGTAACACTTTCTGATTGGTGTTCGCTGTCCCGTGACTTAATTGCTTAGTTTGTACGATTTTTTTAAATTTTATTTTAAATTTTATGAGAAATAGACTGGTTTTTTCTTATCTATGTCCCTTCATTTATTATTTGAAACTCTAAACCAAGCAATTTGTTATTAGTGGACACTAGCCTATTTTTTATTGTTTTTTATTGAAAACTTTTAAAATTGGCTGTAGTACTTTTACGTCGTAATTGTCGAGCCTGGTCCAAGTAATTTTGAAAAAAACAATCCAATTATACCCCCATATAGACAACAAAACTTTTACTGCAGTAAGACCCGGTTTCAGGGTTTTTCTAGGTACCTGTGCTTGAAACAACCATTGTTTTTTGTTTCAGAACATTATCCGCCTTTCATTATAACAATGAATTCCAAGAAGGGCTGTACTGAAATAGAACTTTAGCCTGGGTACCCCTAATATTAATAACACAAAAATGCTAACACTTCTTCTATTCTCACCTAAAGATGCATTTTCCTCAACCATTGTCAATTCTTTTTTCATTTTAAAAGCTACTAATAGTTTTAATACTTATTAACCGACTTCAAAAAAGGAGGAGGTTCTATGTTCCACTGTATGTATTTTTTAGTTTTAATATTCTTAATAAAAAAAATATACAGTTTTTATTCTACAATCGATATAGTCTTATCTTATTAAGAATTATTGAATGTATTGCGGTCGTTGCTCAGGGCGTTAGGACATTAATCTAGTAACATCTATTGTTTTTTAAAGGTGGGTAAGATCTGGGTAAGAGTCTGGGTAAGATTCTTGTTTTAAAACAACTGTTTAAAATTTTATTCGTAGCAAGAAACATTTCAAGAGCTTTATAGGGCGAATGAAATTCTTTACTAACACACGTAACGCTATACCATCTTTAAGCCTAGCTGCATTCAGTTGAGGGCATCAAGAGAACAGCGCAAATTCTGTGAAAAGCAGCATTTTTAACGTTTAAAGATTTAAATAAATACATTGATTGGTTTATTAAATGCTTTAGAGTTACCGGACAAGGAATAAGTTATGTCGATGACTCCTTTTTTGTCGGGACCCTTATAATTTTTAGACCCACACTCGAATAACGGTAGTCTTTAATCTATCTTACCATAATACAAATTGAAGTTATTATTAAACAAAAGGAGTGTGATAATATGCGATTATATGTAACGAAAACAGTTTATCGTCATTGCGGCGTATTGTATCCTGTAGGTCCTTTTACCTTATCTATTTCTATAAAAGAAGAAACTGACAGAATCATTCACTGACTGATCAATCAACGCACAGGTACCACCGCTGGGTCTAGAAGCATAAAATTTTGAACAAATGTGTACTAAGACAGGATTTTTAATAATTCCACCACCAAGGGTGCCAAATGGGAGTTGGAAATTTATATAAAACATCGTTATTTTTGGGTAGTAGCGTATCCTCTACGATGTCTGATGTCTACGACAACGCGGACGAAGTCACTGGCAAAAGCTAGTACTCTATAAACAAATCTTATGACATAGACAATTATTATAATGCAACAATCAAAGTTACTTGTGTAGAGTAACAGATAAGAAAGAATAAGCTTCCTTCTGGTATTTATTTACTCAAAACTTTCTGCTCAAGACTGAACAGAGTCGGAGATACGGACCTGATGGGTAGTAGTGGTTTGTGTAACGGACTGCTATTCCAAAAGTCGCGGGTTCGATTCAAGTAAACATTTGTATGCATGAACATTTAATGTTTGATTTGGTATGGGTGTTTCTATCTATACAAATAAATAAAATTGGAGTGTCTGTTTGTAATATTGAAATAACCGCTTTTTACTAAATGCATATGTTACACGAAGTTTACACGGTAGGTAAATATGCCAAAATAACATTTTTTACAATTTTTGTCTGTCTGTCTGTCTGTTTGTTCCGGGTAATCTCTGGAACGGCTGGACTGATTTCGACGGGACTTTCACTGGCAGATAGCTGATGACATAAGGAGTAAGTAGGCTACTTTTTTTAGACTAGCTTCGCCCCGCGGCTTTGCCCAAGGGTTATAACAACAAACGCGGGTAACACCGCGGGTCTCAGCTAGTGTATAATATGTACCTATGTATTTACAAAAAAATATATATGTATTTATATCAGTTGTCTAGTACCCATAGTACAAGCTCTGCTTAGTTTGAAACTAGATGGCGTCGTATAAATGTGGTAGAATATTATTTTCTTATATTATTCTCTCATAATCAAGTTGTATTGATTTTATAGTCACGGTTATGCTAACGTAAGCCGTGTGCCAAATATATGCAGTAACTACTCCCCGTTTTATTGTTATGCGCCTGACCTGGTAGTGTTAATATAATCTACCAGTAGTTCGACATCTTTGAGCATAATGTATGCCATTGCTCACCGCGTACGTGTATAGGTACTGTAAGTACCAAGTTAGGGTAAGAGTACAATGCAAGTTATATATATAATTGGGCCTCAGTAAATAATTCCAATATCTATTATGGTCTTGGTTGGTTAAGAATCCAATCCTTACTTGCACGTGGTCTTTTGCGTTAATTATGAGCTTCATATTGTAATACTAGCTGGTACCCGCGACTTCGTTCGTGTGGAATTTGAAAAGCGCTGCCTTAGTGGGTTCGATGCCCAGATCGGGCAAATTTTAAAGGGTTTTTCTGAGAGGAAAAATAACCTAAGTTATTCCTTATGTAGACAGCTACCTGGTAGTAAAATATTATCGCAATCGGTCCAGCCGTTTAGAAGATTACCCGAAACAAACATACAGACAGTAAAAAAAAATTAAACTGGTTTTTAGGCATAGGTATCGTGCAAATAAACGTGAGCATGAAAAAACTTATAATTTTGACATTACAAACAGACGCTTCAATTTTATTTATTTGTATAGCTTTACAACTCAATTCTACAAATATTACTATTACTCGTAGTAATGTATTATACCCGCAAATAGGATTTGCAGGTTATTCTCTAAGAGGAGGGTGGTTTATGAGGTCAGAACTCTAATGTACTTCTTCAACTTCTATCGAGAGGAAACTGCATTATAATACAATACACCTGTGCAGTATAAATGTGAGCAAGTGTGTACCCGTAGCTAGGGTTGCCACCAACTCAATTTTTGTATACTCAGGGCTGTTTAAATTAAGTACCACTTAGAGCGTGTCAATTTCCCCTCACTATATCACATATGTGCTGTTCTCAAAGAGCTCAGCAGAGCTCCAATCTATGACATCAGAATTTGAAAACGCAAGCACAAACGTCGGCCTGGAAATGAACATCTCAAAAACGAAGGTCATGTCTAACCACCAGAGAAATCCAATTCAAATAAATAGTAACATCATTGATTACGTTGATGAATATTTCTACTTAGGCAAACAGGTATCCTTTCGCAATAGTAACAACATAGAAGAAATAGACAGGCGTATATCAATCACATGGAAAAAGTTCTAGGGCTATATAGAAGTTATGAAGTCTAACATGGACTTAAAATTAAAAAAGAAAGTAATGAATTGATGCCTCTTACCCTGTCTCACAACTAACAGAAAGGTAACATTATGTCACAGAGTCTTAGAACCCAGCTCACTAAAAATAAATTTAAAGGTCCGTCACAAGGCAATAAGAAATGTCTGATCCGTAAGGAGCCAACGCCTGAGTGTCACCACTGCGATGGTTGGAGCGCGGACAGCGCGCTCCACACGCTGGCAGAATGCCCGGCGTGGGTTGAGCAGAGACGTGACCTCGTGGCGGCCATCAGAGTGGGAATTCTCTCGCTTAGTACCATGATTGCGGCCTTGGTACGGAGCGAGAGCGCGTGTAACTCCGCCGTCTCCTTTTGCGATGAAGTTATGCTTGCGAAGGAAATGGCGGAGCGGGACCGGGAGAGGTTTAGAACTCTCCCGGCCCGCCAGGAACGGGAACGGGCAAGGTACCGCAGGAGACTCAGGCGCCGGAGGTCGCAAAACGACCTCCGTCCTCCATAAGCGCAGGCCTGGGGGTGACAGGTGAGGCCCTCTGTCACCCTGGCGTTGGTTTTTGGTCGGTTCATGTCCGACATAATCACCCCACCGGTAGGTGGTGTCCGAAGGGTGTTCCGCATAGACAAAAAAAAAGGGGCAATAAGAAAGTAAACTGGCGTGATAGACGCCTTGCCCTTCGTAACGAGGTCTGAAATGGAGGTGGGCAGGTCACGTAGCACGCTATACTGACAACAGCTATACTAAAATATTCATTTTAATGATATACAATACCATAGTACATTATTTTGGTCTATCTCGTAAGGTTTAGCCAGCGTTTGCAATGTAAGCGCACAAACACATGTTTTT